ATTAACCAACTGGATCTGACTAACATTTAGATCGGTGAAGTTTATCCCAAGACTGTAAGGCTGATATAATATTTGAAAGTCATAATATACTTATTAAATGATGAAAGAAAAAAAACCACACAATCATTAACAATTAATGTATAAAAAACCACTAATAATGACTTTAGCAAGTTTCAGGAAATAAGATCAATATATAAAAATCAATTACATTCCTATACAGCATTAATAAATACTCCGAGAGAGTAATCAATAAAACAATTATATTCACAATAGCATCAAAATAATAATATACTTAAAAATAAATTTAGTAAAAGAATTGTAATATTTGACACTGAAAACTGCCAAATCTGAGAGAAATTAAATAACATTTAAATAAACAGACATTTAACATTCATGGATTAGAAAACTAAATATTGTCAAAATAACATTTCTTGCAAAATTGACCTATAAATTCTATATACTCTATCAAAATCCAAGCAGACTATTTTGTAGAAACTGACAAGATGATCCAAACATTTACGTGGAAATATAAAGTATCTAAAATAATGAAACAAGTTTGAAAAAGAGGAGAGTTGGAAGATTTATACTACTCAATTAAAAAACTTAATAAAGTCACAGTAATCATGACAGTGTGGTACTGGCACAAGGACAATCAATGAAGCAGAATTGAGAGCCCAGAAATCCTTACATTTATGGTCAAATGTTCCAGCAAAAGTGTCTAGACAACTGAACAACAAAAGTATTTTAAATAAGTGTTACTGAGATAATTGGATATCCACATTCCAAAATAAAAAAGAACCAAGACCCTTAAACCTCATACCATACATAAAAAGTAACTCAGAGTGGAACACAGATCTTATTTTCAACCTGTGGCTGGACAAAGTTCTTAGATATGATTCCAAAAGCATGATTCACTAAAGAAAAAACTCTGATAAACTAGACTTAATCAAATTAGAAACTTTCTGTGCTTCAAAAGAGAAAATGAAAAAGAAACCACAGATTGGGAGAAATACTTGCAAATCACATACCTGATGAACGATTTATATCGAGAATATATGAAGAACTCATAACTCAGTAATAAGAGAAACAATCAAATTTTAAAATGGGCAAACGATTCAGTTATTTCACCAAAGCAGATACTTTATATTTCTATGAAAAAAGCAAAGTGTAGATCAGCCGGCATGCACTATTGATACCTATCTATACAGACACTCACGTATACAAACACACATACATTTACAGATATCCTTGTATATCCTTTAAATATTTTTGGAAAATACCACAAGAAATTCTTAACAGTGATTTTTTTTTTTTTCCTGAGGAGTGGACTAGGGACCCCCGGAGGGACATATAAATAGTATATTCTCTTATACGTTTGGGAGCTTCCCATGCTCATATATTATCTATTTTTTAAAATAGTTAATACAAAAGAAATAGAAATAATTTAGAACCATCCAGTGAATGAGGTAGTTAATCAAACTGAGAAATGCTATCTCTAGATAAAATCTGTCTGTAAATACACACTTTGCGCTAAAAACACTATCAAAATAAATTAATCATCTGATCCTAGATAGCTCTTCTCTCATTGTGGAAAATCCCTCATCTACTTCATAATCTCCACAATGAAATAAGATCATGTCTTACTTTGTGAATTTATGCCACACAAAAAGAATCAGAAATTACAGTGTTTAAGAGATCTTATCACAAGCATTTTCTTTGACATCAAATAACATCTCCTCTTTAATAACAGTTTACTTTGAAAGACATTACGGTTTACTATCACAGTGGTGTTTCACCACAAACTGCTCTATCTTTTACAACTAGAACAATGTCTGGCCACAGTAGACATTCATTCAGTATTTACTGAATGAATGAACCCTTGGAGACTATTGTCTTCAAAAATAAAGCAGAAGAAACAAGTTATTTTGTCTGTCTTGTTTTAAAATTATCCAGTGATCTATTGGTCAGCACGGCACAATCTTTTAAAATATTCCTATGTACTTCCTTTGGCATGATGTTGCTTCTTATTTAATTTAACTCATGTTATTTTACATCCTCACAGTTAAACATACTTGAATGTACTAAATCTTGAAATTAAGATTTTAAGAAATCAGATATATCACAGATTCAATGTATTAAACATTTTTTTAACTGAATTTAAAAGAACATGTTTGAATCGCCATAGCTGCTAGCACAAGACTACCTAGATCAGTGGTCTCCAACGCAGGCAGTGATTACAACCACCCACTAGGCATGAGAAAAAAAATCCTGTGACACTGATTAGTAAAATTTTTTTTAATTGAAGTACAGTCAGTTACAATGTGTTAATTTCTGGTGTACAGCACAATGTCTCAGTCATGCATATACACACATATATTCGTTTTCATATTCTATGTCATTAAAGATTATAAGATATTGAATACAGTTCCCTGTGGTATACAGAAGAAAATTTTTTAAAATCTATTTTTATATATATGGGTAACATTTGCAAATCTCAAATTCCTAACTTTAACTCTACCCACTCCCTTTCCCCTGGTAACCATAAGATTGTTTATGGTCTTCAAGTCTGTTTCTGTTTTTAGATGAGTTCATTAGTGTTCTCTTTTTTTTTTACATTCCATATATCAGTGATATATGGTATTTTTCTTTCTATACATATTTTTAATCTCATTCTTTAATTTCTATTTTTAGTTTATTAATAATAGCTAATATTAATGAAGCACTTATACATCAAGCACTATTCTAAGCAAACGCATTAGTTCACTTAACTCTCACAATAATCCAGTAAGATACATAAAACTATTGCTCCATTTTTCAACTGGAGAAACTGAAATATAACCGTTGGATGTTGTTTTTTGTTTGTTGGTAGCTTGCCCAACTTCATACTGATAGAGGCAGGATTTAAACTCTAATGCTAGATTCCACTTTTTAAACCACTATAATTGAGTAGTATATGGATTCAATTCACAATTAAATATTCATATACTGGAGATTCAAGCTTAAAGATTTCATTGATTTCATTGTTGTTGTTGCTCTTGCTGTTAGGTATGCATGATCAAAAGAATATGGAGATGCAATGTTCACAGCAGCACTATATACAATAGCCAAGACACAAGCAACACAAGCACATGTCCATCAACAAATGAATGGATAAAGAAGATGTAGTAAATACATACAATGGAATACAACACAGCCATAAAAAATAACAATATCATTTGCAGCAACATGGATGAAAGTGGAGATTGTCATACTAAGTGAAATAAGCCAGAAAGAGAAAGAAAAATACCATAGGATACCACTTAATATGTGAAATCTAAAAAAATTATACAAATGAACTTATTTACAAAACAGAAAGAGGCTCAGACATAGAAAACACTTACGGTTACCAGGGGGAAAGGGGAGGGTAGAGGGATAAATTGGGATTTGCAGATACTAGCTACTATATATAAAACAGATAAACAACAAGCTCCTACTGTATAGCACACGGGAACTATATTCAATATCTTGTAATAACCTATAATGAAAAAGAATATAAAAAGGAATATGTATATATATGTATAATTAAATCACAATGCTGTACACCAGAAATTAACACAACATTGTAAGCCAACTATACTTCAATTTAAAAAAAAAGAATATGGAGATCCAACAATGTCCTAGTGAATAGCACAGGGAATTATACTCCGCATCTTCTAATAAACCATAATGGAAAAGAAAAATATGGAGATCAGTAAAACAGGAAATCACTGAAAGCTTCCATGTTTATGAACATACTTGTCATAATAATTCCTCAGATTCCATAAGAGCTATAACAAAGGTAATATTACTATTTCATAAGTCATATTTAATCCTACCAACTAAGCAATTATCTGCAGAAAGTCTTGTCCTCATTTTGAACATTATATAAATTCCTGGAAAGCTGTTTATAATAAAAAGCAACTGTGAATTCAATAATTCTGAAGAAAAAATTTGATACCAAGATGTAAAGCATACTTGAATATACCTATATTTGTTTTAAAAATAGTATTCCTTTGAATACACATATCCAATTTTCAATAAGCAATGTAAGAAAAGCCAATTAAATGCATCTAAATACTCTTCACATAGTAATATTCTAAGCATAAAAACTCAGGCTTACTTCTCATTTCATTGAGAATTCTCAATACCTCCGAACGATAGTTAATAAGGCTAAAACTAATAAGAAGTACATGCCTAGGCAACACCTCCAACTTATTTTTAGGGCAGCTCAAAACCAATTTGACAAACAGTTTATAGCAGCAGTTCCAAAGTCCTCAACTCTATCTTTTATAAAACATTCTTTTCAAAAACGTTTATCTCCATGATTTAGGAAAAAGTCAATTTGGACCTAAAGCTAGGAAAGAAAACAGAATTAGTGGCTCATCTGGGTGGATTAAATTACTGTGAAAATAGAATTATAATACATAGGAAAACAATGTATAAATCTAAGACATTAGTAATAACAATAATGATGAAAAGTGGGTGGAAAGAAGCCTTAGCACATAAATCAGGGTTTGGAGGGATTGCCAAGCATATGCTATTTGAGATAATGTTGCCAGAAGTGTATTTTACAATTTTTTATAAGTCCACCTATCAGACCCTTAAATCCTGACAATGGAATCCAAAAATGTCACCACAACTAATAATATACCAGTAATATGAAGTCAGTAACTCTAGATAAGTTTGACCGTTGTAGGAGATGTAAGTAAAAGAATGAATAAAAATGGAGAGGTTGAACAGGAATAAATCAAGTTTAAGCATGCTGATATCCAGGTTTTTATAAGTTATACTGACCCAAAAAATATCATATAGTGCATATATTTCCCGTAAGCATATATACTATTCAGAAATAAACTCATCTTATACATCACCTAATACTTAGCAACTGATCAAAGAAAAAAAATTTAAATGAAAAAACATTTGCATGTTTATAAACTGCTATATTTTTTCCCCAAAAAGAGCGTATTAGATAATCTGGCTACCTTTGGTCCTGAAACTGGATGGATAGTATTTTTGGCAGATAGAGGATGGGGAAAGGTGTTCTGGAATGCAAACGCAGAGGAGACAGGATAACCAATCCCACAAGTTGGGTAAGTCAGTCTACCATCAACCTAAAAATAAAAACATAAAAAAGGTTAAGAATGAGAAATGAGTTCTGAGTAGTATTTGGTGATCCATCATCTATTATTAAATACCTGATAGTTAAGAGCACTATCTCGGAGGCCAATTTTGTCTACGATGACACTACAAAACTCTGCTTTATTATACAGCATGAGGCTGGATACCTTTGCCCAGAGAGCTCTTCAGGGTGGCTGTGTAAGTTTAGACAAAACAAAACCACTGGAACCTGCCTCTGAACTGAAGTAAAACAAAGACCTCTGAATCACCTTGGTTCCCTCTAAGCCTCCCCATTCCTGAAAAGGGGAGTGAGGAGCTAGAGTCATAGATCAAGAGTCCAATCAGGGATAAAATAAAAATAATTTTCTACCAGGTTGAGTAGAAATAATGTTTGTGCTCTTAAGTAGACTAAGACAAAAGTCTGCTCTGCCACTGATTTTCAATATAGTAACCTCACTAGTAATGTCATGAAACCTTTAGTTTTGTAAGAGGACAAAACACAGATCTTAAGAAGCACTTACGTGCATCAGCGGCTGCATGACAAATACACCTTTCACACAGCTATTTATCATCAGTCGTTAAGATTAAGCCTATCAAGCTTTTTCAAGTTTGTAATTCAGTACCAAGCATTTCATTCTGCACCTTTTCCCAATTTAGCAGAAATATTTTCCCTTCTTTAAACATCAAGTACTATTTCATTTACTAGGGTAGGCTAATAATTCAAAGTGATCACGGATTTGCATTTTAAATACCCCGCCAATGCCTTCCAAAGACTACCAGAAACATGTCTATAGTGTACACGCTGTGTTTGCTGCTCCTTGCAACAAAGAAGACCACACGCTGTGAGGATCCTAGTAAGAGGGGAGGCTCAGTAAGGCAGTGTTAAAGGGACTTGCCTACTGGACTTGGGCATGTGTTAGGTGATTTAAGGAACAGTTTAAGGACATGAGGCTTTGCTGTGGATTGAATGCTATTAAGAAACGGGGATAATTGTATGACTGGGTACCTGAATAAATTTTATCTAATAAGACAGGAGGAATGTATTAAGGCTGAAACTGTAATTGGTAATGAGTAGCAGTCACACTTCAGCCAGGAAAGGAGGATGCTTGCCCATTTGTGTGGTTTGGCAATGTCATATTTTTGTCTGTGTTCAGACATGATTATAAAGTTGTCTTGTTTTTGCCTTGATCCATCACAATCACAGAGTGGTCTCGTCCAAGGCTGATATTCTGTGAAACTGTTTATGATCAACAGGAGACCCAAAGCCCAGCTGTACGTACAAGGCCACTTCCTAGCAATATGTAGGCCTAGCTGAGACCAGACCTCAGGTCCTCAGAGCCAGAAAGCTTAAATCGTGTAACTAGGTTCTTCCAGAATCTAGAGCTGACAAGCCTTTCTCTTTTATTTCTAATGGAATTCTGTTTAGGCTCCTTCCATCCCAATTCTAAATTTGAGGCCATAATCTATTCTCCTTTCTTGAGGTCTCCTAAATACTTCGCGTGTGTGTGTGTGTGTGTGTGTGTGTGTGTGTGTTACAGTTTTTCAGCACATTTGGCATTACTTTAGTTAATGCTGAATGATTTGTATATTCATCAAAATCTTACAAATGTGCCTTTAAAAGCTTCTTTGTTAAGAACAAATATACCTTTACGTCCTACTTCCAAATGCAACTTAAACTCTACTTCAGTATCAAAAACTAGAACTTCAGTCATATTAGTACCAGAACCTAACATTTTTGTTTTCAAAAATTTACTAAGAACATTCACAACATCTTAATTTAAATCTTACCACATTGGAGTTTGGAGAAATTCCACTTCTGATGGTATTGCTCCCAGAATGTAGAGGTGAGGTGGTAGAAGGTCCCAACACATCTTGCTTTCTCACTACCTGATTTTCATTTAGTTCTTTATTTAACCATGTGATTACTTAAACAAAACAACAAGAATCAAGCTAAAGAATTTTGAATATTTTAATCTTTCTAATAATTTTAGAAGACTATTGAAAAGTTTTATTGAAATTTTTTAAAGTTTTTAAAACCACCTTATGTCACAGGAGAATAATATAGATTCACCTAAATTTCTGTCATTAACGATCTTATTTTAGAAACTGCCACACAGGATTCCTTACTCTTTTACGATTAGAAACACATATTTCTGCTAGTCAAGGATCTCTTTGAAGGTTTTCATTTCTAGAAGGATATTTTACAGTTTATTTAAAGTTCAAATTCTTATTTCTGATAATCAATACTAGAAACTGAGAAACAGTTAAAGCTTAATCTCATTATTTTTGTTTCAAATAATTCATATTATTACTAGTAGCTAAACACAGCAATTATAACAAGGAGTGAAGAATTTAAATAGCAAATTATAGTCAATATTGTCAACATCTTTAATTATTATTAAATATTAATATTCTATTAAGTTTTAATTTTGGGTTACAATACATGTGATAGGTTCTTTTTTTATAATGATGTAAATGCTTTATAGGGTAGATGATAAAATTTACTATAGCAAAGATATTAAGATGGTATATTTAAAGATTATTTGTGTATAGCAGTATCTTGATTTACCTAGATTTATTAATTCAAATAAAATTTTCAGGTTGAGAATAAAACTACAAACCTCATTTACATAAAAAAGGTAAAATACTTACATTTTTCATTATTTTTCAGAAGTTGTTTGCTTTCTTCAAGTTTCTGAACAGTTGCTTCTAATTGTTCTTGTAGTTTGCATACCTGAAATACATAATCCTCATAGTAAGTATAATAAAGACTAAAATAAAAACTGAAGAAATGTATTACTATTGAGTAATTAATTACTATTATTATTAAATAAGAAAGAAATCAGCTGATCAATGTAATAAATTATATATGTACACATAATTATACATATACACATATACATATATACACACACGCACACATACATATGAACGAGGTATTTCAGTAATGATAAGTAACTTCTCAAACTGAAATAGGTTATTAAGTTCTGTTCATTATAGTCACATTCTTTTGGGAAAAAAGCCAAAGCCATTCTCTAATATAACAAAGCAGAAATTTAAAAAATATATCTGAGGAAATTTGTTATGCTTTGCAAATAGTTACACAAACAAAAAATATAAAATATTAATTACTTCTTGCTCTTTAATTCGGAGAGACTGTCCAACATCTTGTAATTCCTTTTGTTCCTTTTGTAATTTTTCTTCCTTCTCAGCCAAGAGTTTCTCCTGCTGAATAGTTACTGTATTCTTCAGTTTCAATTTACCCATTAGAGTCTTTAGATCCCCTTGCAACTTCTTGATAATTTCATTTGCCTGTAAAAGAGCTTCATATGTATATCTCTATATAATCCAATGAAATATTAATATTCTATTAAGCTTTTAAAAACAAACCTTAAGAAGTTCAGCTGATAATGATTTTATTGTAGCTTCAAGTTTTCCTAGTTGTACCTGATTTTTCTCACCATTTTCTTCTAAAGCCACCTGACATGTATTTTTAAAAACATGAATAATTAGGACATTTGTGTTTATTTATGTAAAGCATCACTCATAAATATGATCATCAATTTAAGAAAATTTTAAAATAGACCTTTTGTTCCTGGATTGTATCAAATGCTTCTTTTGTTCTTAAAACAAGCTGGTCCTTATCCTTGATTTCCTGTTCTAAAACGGCCACTTTTGTTTGTAGCTGATTAATATGCTTTTCTTTTTCATGGCATTCAGCATCTAGTGTAGAATTCTCTCTTCGCAAAGAGAGAACTTCTTGCTTAGCCCGCTGGAGCTCCTAGAGGACGGAAAGAAGGACGCATTATGAAAAAGGGAAGTTGACTGGTTTGGTTATTTATAACTAAGATATTTAAAATAGAAAAAGTCTCCTTAATAGTTTTAAAGGTCTAGTATTGATGTTCTTTAAAGGACATGAAGGTCTCTCTCTCTAAAGGTCTACGTGACTTGTAGATTTGGAATATAATTGTAAAATGTGTTAATTCAATCACAACAAGGGAAAATAAAACAATCCTGATTTATGAATTAATTACTACAACTTTAAAAAACCAGCAACAAGAACTTTCTGAAATTTACAGTTTTAAGAAATCACTTAGGTAATAAATGCTCATTGTAACAGAATTTCAAAATACATAAAATAAACAAATAAAGCCTATCACTCTGCCATCTATGTGGTGATTCGCCGTCTAATCTGCATGCTGGAATCCCCTGGGAAGCTTTCACAGCTCCCGATGCCTGGTACCATGTCCAAGGGATTCTGCCTTCATTGCTGTCAGGTGTGATCTGAGCTCTCCAACTGACTCGAAGGGTAGCCAAGGGTGAGAGCCATAATCTAGAGTTAACATTTTTCTCTCTTGCTTATCTATACAGATTTACTTTTTTAAAGCGACTATATAGTGCACTTTTATAATTTTCTTCATAGAATATACTACAAATATCTTTTCACTTCAACAAATATGTTAACACTCTGGATTTCCTTTTGGTTCAAGCTTTAAAGCAAAAGCAAACAATAATTGTTAATTAAAAATCGACTGTGTAAAAATCTAGACTAGATCACATCTCAATCAGTTAATACCAGCCCAAATGTTGCCAGTATACTAAAGTCCACTATGTAGTATTCCTAGTTAGTTTTCATTTTTAATAGAAAATTTACAAAATACTTTAATAGTATTATAACATAGGGGTTTTAGAAGCACTATTATACCAAGTAGTTTTAGAAGTGCTAACAACAGATAAATGCAAAACCTGGCTCCACTGTGTGATCTTGGGAATTACTTAACATCCTTAATTTTCAGTTCCCTAGTTTGTAAAACAGAAATAACACTTCAGAAATTAATTCATTTCATCTTCACAAAAACCCTTACGTAAACTACGTAGCATATAGCTGATACATAGTAAATACCTAATAAATGACAGTAATTATTATTTTTAGGGCACTAACATTTAAAAGGTATACTTTAATATAATTAGGTAACAATACTCAAAAGTTAAAAAAGGAAAGTTCCCAGGACTCATAATTTGAAAGTCTTTTGAAAACCCTGGAAGAACTATTTGATTAAATTATATGAAAATCAATGTAACAAACCACACTGTTTATACACTGGTCACTTTCAGGGCTAAAAAAGAAGAAACCACAGAGCATCACAGTGAAGCATTCACTGTGCAATGTACTATGGCAGCTGAACTGTTTACTAACTAACTAACTGGCATGAAAGGTGAAGGGAGTAGGGAGGAGGGACTGAAGACACCTATCGTTGGGCAGAATGCTAAGAGGATCTGAACACAAAATCAGTCAGGCTTTAGAGTTTCTAAGCATAACAGACTGCTGAAAGGGAGTTGGATGTCTTTTGAGTTAGAATACGGCTGATCTTTATATTTAAATATGATAGACATAACAAAACTATATATATGTCTTCTAACAACTCATAGGACAATAATGTATGACAGTGCTTGTAAGGAGTTTATCATCAGTGCCAAAGCATCAATAAAAGTACTACTAAGATTTTTTAAATTTGTTGCCTAAAAGAACAAGGTAGTACTAGAGATAGGCAGATAATAGAGGGTTCCTATCCTCACTCTTCTGCTTATTGGCTATGCAAACTTAGACAAGTTACTTAACCTCTCTGTGCCTTAGTTTCATCATTTGTATAGTGGGGATAATAACATTACCTTCTTTAAAATAATTGTTCTAATTAAATGAGTTAATCTATGCAAAGCACTTAAAACAGCGTTCGGTAAGCATAAACTATTATCGTTACTGTGTTATTATCATTATTACTAGACAGTAAACTCCATAGCGGTGCGATACGTTGAGCAGGCTGAAAGACCCAGCCCTGTCAACACTGAGCACCCTGAGCTCCAGACACTGCGCTGACATTAAAAGTACACTGAAGAATCTGAGGGCTGTGCCGATGAGCTGCTCCTCAAGAACCGAACCAAAAAGATCCAACTTTACCTTAGTTCTGTTCTAAATTAGCCCATTTAACTAGATTTCAGATTCTCAATTTTTTTTGCTAGTCTTTGAACTGACCACCCTAAGACCACAAGAGATCCCTGCAGAACATCCAGAGGGGCACCATCCACATGAGCAATAAGTAACCAAAGTAAAACATGCTCTTAAATTTGGGGGGGAAAAAAGACCAAACACAACAACAGCCAATACCTCCTCAACACCAGACAGTTTTGTTTTGAGCTCTCTGATGGTGGCGTCTCCTTTGTATTTCCTTTCAGTCAGGTCTTTATTAGCCGATTCTAACTCAGACAGTCTGTTCTGCAGCTGCTGGACGTTTCGTTGATGGAGGATTTCTAAATCTTTTTTCTGTTGTTCATGCTGCTGTTGGTACTGAACCTGTGTCTATTTTATAATAAAATATAGCACCAAAATTCAAAGAAAAAACCGGAAACAAGTAAAGTATGAGAAGATTTTAAGGAAAAAAAACTTAATTATTCTTCTTCATAAGATTTCCCTCTTTTTAAGAGGATCTATTTTCAACTACAGATTTCATGAACCACACAGTAAGGTCAACAAAGGCAAATTTACCACTATGATTTTGTTCATAATTTCTATTTCTCCTAAATCCACATATGTTTAGAAGTAATAGTCTTCAAGTTAAAGGAAGAATGATAAATGATTAAGTTTTCAAAAAAACAAACTGCAAAATAGTATATGTAGTGTGAATCTATTTGTGTGAAAAAACAAATGAGCAGGCACGTAAGGAACTTTGAGTAACTGCTTTAAACAACATTACACTGTTTCAGTTTTTTACAACCAGTATATATGTTTTCTAATGAAAAAAACACCTAAACTTGTAAAATTGACAAGATACTGTTCATTAGTTCAGTCTTATACTTAGTTGTTACATTTTACCAACAGTAAAATCTGAACATGGTTGTAACTACAATCTGTCTGAATAGTACCACAAACTTATCTTAGTAATTTCTGTTGACGAACACTATCAAATCCTAAACACATTTTAAAATGAATATTTTTCTGATTATAAAAGTTATGTTTTCTTAAAGATACAAGAAAGAAATCACAAATTAATAGGAAAGAGCCCATATAAAACTGAAAATGCAACCTTGGTAAACATGCTAACTGTACCTGTTTGAGGGTAATCACACATACTGAAGGCAACAGAGGCCAAAGGCTATAAAATGAAGAACTGGCTTTATACTAGTGATCATTAGAATTTTGGACTTCTTGTTTAAAAAAAAAGTGTAATGGATAGGATTACAACATTTACATTTTCTACTCTGTTCACTTCAGGTGATTGTGATGCACACTTAAAATCACTGGTCTTTAAAGTCTTAAAATCACTGCCCTATAGAATATTTATCAGCAGGAAGAGAAGAGTGGCCTGCCTGGTTTTAAAGTCTTTGTCCCTTAAAAGACAAAACAAATTAAGAACATAAGAGAAATGGTATGAAGATTTTAAAAATCTTAAGACAGTATGTATGACATTGTACTAATACATTTAAAACAGAGATGAAATACTTGGCTTTCTAAGGAAATACAAGCTAACATAAATAACTCAGGGAAAGGAACGATAGAAAATCTGAACAGACCAATAATCATGAAGGAAATGGGGAAAAAAAACCCCCTCAAAATAAATGCCTCAAAAAAATACCGGACTCATATGATAAAAGGCTAATTCTATCAGGCCTCCAAGGAACAGATAATTCCTCGTTATTTGGCTGTTCCAAAGCGTAGAGAAAACCGGAAAATGTTCTCATAACTTTCACAATGCTAGATAATTCATAGTCCAGAACCCATCATTTTAATTAGCAGACTAACACAGGGTTCAGAAAAAGGGTAATCTCAGATCAGTATCACCTATGAATATATATATGCAACATCCTAAATTAAATATTTGCAAACTGATTCAACAGAATAGTAAAAATCTCTTTGGCTAAATATATTCTGTGAATTTAAACAGGGTTCCACATTTGGAAATTATTGTCACTCATTACATTATTAAGGTGAAAAGCATGATATGATTATTTGATTAAATCCCCAAAAGTCACTTCATGTGACTTAGCACTCTTTGGAAGCCAGACAGGTACATATATACTGCAGTCTCACGTCTAGGAACAAAGAACGTTCACTGAAGCATTATTTGCAATAACCAAAATTTGAAGCATTAAATGTCCACCAGCTGGGTAAGCAGTTAAGTAATTTATGACATACCCAAATAATGAATGCTACGCAGCCACTTCTGAACTGTTAAAGAATGATGTCATGTGAGGTGAAAAAGTTACAGTCAATATATCCAGTAGGACCTTATTATCTTAGAACAAAACCAAAACTCAAATATGTGTTGTACTTATCTATAACTATATACAATATACATATTTCTACATTTATAAATATAAACAACTATTTATAAGTTATATGTTATTTACATATATAGAGAAAAATATGGAAAAACAAGTATCAAAGTGGTTATAAATTATCTCTGGGTAATAAGACTTAAAGAGAGACAATTTTTACATACTTCTGCACTGTTTGAAAATTTTAAAGCAAGCATATATTACTCTTATAATTAACAAGATGACTAACAGCAATAACAAAATATTTTTCCAGTTTTTTTTAATGTTCATACCTGCAAAGCCTTCTCCTTCTCGTTCGTCAGTTCCTGGGAGTGCTTATTTGACAACGCTGCTGTGTGTGATGCCCATTCGTTACGTAATTTATCTAATTCTTGAATTTTTTCCGATAATGTCTGTATTAGAATTCAACACAGAATATTAAAACTCTTGAATATGTTAATTAGAACATGGCAATATTTGTAAAGGATATAAAAGAAAATGGAATCACAGCTTTTTAAGACATACTCAAAGCCTTTTCCTATAGAAACTATTTGAATTTGAAGAAATCAAGATCAGAATAAAAGCAATTTTAGAGCTAAAATGGTCCACAGCTAAACTATTACTAATCTTTTAGTTAAATCTGGCTCTTTACCACCCAATTCTCTCCTCTGGCATTAAGAAATAAAGCAACCCAGGGTAGAGCAAGTCAGTCATAAACAGTACAGGTGACCTTTGGACAACACAGGTTTGAAATGTACAAGTACACTTATCCTCAGATTTTTTTCAATAAATACATACTACAGTGCCAAAGTCGGCTGAATCCGAGCAGGCAAAACCACAGACATGGAGGGCTGACTACCCGAGGATCTTCAACCACACAGTGGGTAGGCGCACCTAACCCCTGTGTTGTTCAAGGGTCAACTGTAGTTTACTCCTGCACGTAAAACCTAGTTATGTCGGATCCCAAGAGGTGCCATGCTGTGCAGGACAATTTTCTGCCTGAAGTCATGCAGCTTATCAGATACTTTGGTCCTCAATTTCAAGGAGTAGCTATGAATGAAATGATGATAAGCCTATCAGAGGGATTAAGGCAATGCTTAACAGAAGGAAGGAAGGGAAAGATTTAGAAGAAGGAACTGAAAAGCCATTTAGACAAGAGGAACGAGGTGAATAAAAGAGAAGCAGAGAACTAACAAATGACAGATCCTATATATTACCTTATTTAATGAAGACTTGGAGGGAGCGTGTCGCATATTGGGGATAACAGAAATGTTTGGACAGAATTCATTATCAAGGAGAAAAAGCACCAGGTTGAGATAATTAACTGGTACAGTAAAGGTATCAAAAAGGAAAGGGAATTCCTTGGAAGCATGATTTGGAAAAAAAAAAACCCACAAATGCCTAGATTTGATTCAAAAAGCAATTCAGAGCCTATGTTTGGATGTCTTACAAAGAGAAAATGAAATGTGAATTACCTTTTGTGTGAAATTCAGTTGCCTGGTAACATCATCTAGTGATTGGGTCAATGATAATTTTTCTTCCTATTTACAAAAATAATACAATTATGCAGCTTACAATTTAATCATCTGTAGCTGTGCTACCCAAAGTGCAGCAAAATACAGCATCAGCCCCGCCCTGGGAGTTCATTAGGAAGGCAGAATCTCAGGCTCCACCTCAAACCTTCCGAGTTAGAATCTTCACAAGTAAGATGCCCGGAAGATTTGCCTAACCACTAAATTTTGAGATGCACTGATCTATAGCATTCAACTAAAAGGACTTTCTGAAAACTCCTACAAGGCGTCCCAATGTTATTTCCTTGTGCAATATACCTTAAACAATTTTAGAGCACTTTGTAATCTTCCAGACACTTTCATATATTTTATCTCCTTTAAAATAGGCCAGATAGGGTAGATATTTCCATACATATCTACCAGCTGATGAAACCAAGACACCAAGAGTTTAAGTGACCTGCCCAAGGTCACAAAAAGCTAGTAGAAACCTGGCACCTAAGTTTCCCAATCCTGGTCCATTTCTATCCTGTTGTGCCATGACTAGATAAAAATAAAATAAAATAAAGTCATTATATGCTATAAAAATTTCCTGGGCATCTTTTAAAAAAACTTTATTCAGAAAACAAAATCTAATAGCAATATAGCTCTTCAGCGGTTTATCAGAGACCTTTGGGACTTATTTTATTTTAAAAGAACAACTTAAAAGAAAAAAAAGAACAACAAACTTAAGTCTTACCTTGCTACACTTCAAACAGTCTGCTAAAAACTTCTTTATTTCCACATCATTTCCAGGTAAAAGTTTTAGTGAGAGGTGTGTGAGATGCTTAAAAGGATTTGTCTCCACCACATTTAGAAAGGCAGGCGAGTTTTCCAAAATAGCTGCTGGAGAAACTAACTGTAGCAAAAACCTTTGAAAAGAAAGTGCCACATAACACATTTACGAAGTCGTGAAACTCTCCTACTGAATCGTTGAGCTTTTCACTGGATCATCATCAATGATTAGAAGGATCAGAAAAGGGGCTTATTGGAATCATAGGGGCCAATATGAAAGTACTCCCAATGGTAAAACTGGACTAATTAATATAAAGAGTAAAATGGACATTTATCTGTGGACTGAAACACAGTAAATATATAAATGTCCATGAGTTCACAATGAAGAGACAGATGAGGCGAGAGAGAAAGCAAGACTTAAAATGAAAACAAACCAAAAACACATGGAAACCACGACAGTAACCACTCCTTACTCTGAAAATTGACAATTTAAAAGTAAGAATTAAGCATTTTTCCTTTCCTATATGAACTTTCGGAGTAATCAAATAGCTCTAACTGATGAGGGAAAGTTCTTCTTTATAAAAGAATTATACCTAATAAATACTAGAAGAATAATGGAATTCGAAAAGCATAATTTTGTAGTTCCTAATGAAGTAACAACAAACATCAATTGATGAAACTAATAGATAAGAGGGTGGAGAACTTAACAGTGCAAGGTTCAGGTGTTAGCACTACACAAATATGGATACACACATACACACACACACAAAACCTTATTCCTCTCTTCCAAATTCATTATAAAAACATGTTTTTTTAAATAAAAACATACTCTGAACACTAACAAAAAACTATCAGAAAGAGAAACTAAGGAAGCCATCCTATTTACCATCACATCAAAAAGAATAAAATTCCTAGGAATAAACCTATCTAAGGAGGGAAAAGAGCTGTACTCAGAAAACTATAAGACATTGATAAAAAGAAACTGAAGACAACAAACACATGGAAAGACATATCCTGTTCAGGGATTGGAAGAATTAATATTGTTAAAATGACCATACTTCCCAAGGCAATCTACAAATTCAACACAATCCGTATCAAAATACTGATGGCATTTTTCACATAACTAGAACAAATAATTTTAAAGTTAGTATAGAAACATAAAAGACCCCGAAGAATCAAAACAATTTTGAGAAAAAAGAACAGAGCTGGAGGAATCATGCTCCCTAAATTCAGACTACACTACAGAGCTACAGTCATCATTAGTCAGCATTATTTACAATTGCCAAGATATGGAAGCAACCTAAATGTCCATCAACAGACAGATGGATAAGGAAGATGTGGTATATATATACAAAACGCAATAATACTCAGCCATAAAAAATAATAAAAATTTGCCAGTTGCAACAACATGGATGGATGTGGAGGGTATTACACTAAGTGAAATAAGTCAGACAGAGAAAGATAAATACTGTATGATACCACTTATATGTAGAATCTAAAAAATACAGCAAACTAGTGAACATAAAAAAAGAAACAGACTCACAGATATACAGAACAAACTAGTGGGGAGAGAGAAAGGGGAGGAGCAATACAGAGGCACGTGATTAAGAGGTACAAACTGTTATGTATACAATAAGCTACAAAGATATACTATAAAACACAGGGAAGATAGCCAATATTTTATAATAACTATAATTGGTAAGTAACCTTTGGAAAAAATATACTTGATGCTGTTAAATATTTTAGGTAACTTTGACGGCTTTGTGAAGACATAAAAATTAAGGGGTAAATATTCCTCATTTTATAAATGTGAGATTTATGAAGCTCTCACTACAACTTAAAAAATAGACAGAGGTACTTATAATAGATAGAAAATATTTTGCTATAACTTGTCTAAGAAGAGCTTGTCTTGAGAGAAGTTTAATGATGTACTGCTCTCCTGAGACTTACCTTGGAATTTCTTTGGCTTGCTCTTGAGTACACTGCTGAAGGAGATCTATGAATTTTTGTGGGAAAGCTAAGAAGTCAACCAGAAGACCTTGCTGGAATTTTAAACTATACAGAAGACATGAAACAAGATTTTTTTTAATTTTAATTACTATATTTAATTATAATCAACACTTTGAAAGTTTTTTTAAATTTACTGAATACCCATTATAATCAAGAACTAAGCCACAGAACTTTGTTATTTTTAGATTTTATTCAGTAGGAGGAAAAGGTCAATAAATTTAGCCAAAGTTCCAAATCTCTGAGCTGCTTTAAGCAGAACTCTGATAATATATGAAATATTTATTTTCAAAAACATTCTGAATAATCACAGTATAAATATTTCAGTTTCCAAAATACCTAAACGTTCCTAATAGGTATGTGTTTCAAAGAGAACAGTATTGATACATTCATAAAACTTAAAAACATAACTTATTCCTAGATTAAAGACCAGAAAAATAAACTTAGTTACCTCTGAAAATCTTCCTCAGATATAACAAGGTTATACAGAAAAAAAGGATCAGTATCATCAGTCAGACGGATAACCAAATCCTAAAAGAAAGATTGTTATTTTTTAACATTTCCAGTAGATTTGGCTTTTAGAGTAATTTCTTCCTGGAAGTGAAATCCTCCAATGAACATCAACACATCACTGCTATAGTTCAGATGACTTTGCTTTCTGGTGCTGCTGGGTTTTCATTGGTCTTTAGAGACTTAGCATCTTTAACAGGGGTAGATATTTCTGCTCCCTGAGAGCCACATGGGCAAGGGGAGTCCACAAAAATTAATTAAATGCTAAGAGTGGAAAGGTGAGGAGTATCACTCTATCAGAGGCTTAGGAAAATTCAGACCTAGCCCTTGCTGCACTATGACACCATGACAGAAATACTCTTTACCACTGACTGTATCATATTCGATTATATTTTCAGTTTCTCTCAAGTCAATTGTCTGGTATTTCAAAAGTGGCAAATACATCAGCAGAAATGACAGTCACCCACCCCCTAGACAGGAAAGGAGCATTTGTCTCTCAGACAGAGGACAGGGTGTCAGGTGACAGGCTGCCAGGGCTTCTTCCTAAGAGCCTGTTCTCTCCCACCCCAGGTGGCCTCTGATGTGGAACTCCATCTGTTTCCAGTTTTAAATGAAATGAATACCCTTCACAGAGGCCACTTTCCAGGTAGTTAAATTTACCATATGGCAGATCATCACAGGAGCTAAAACTGGCAGAAAAGTACACAGAAATTATGTACTTCCGAGAACAGCAGCGCGAGGAACACAGGCACAGCTATAAGATAATGAAGGACTAATAAAGAAATAAGCATTCAGGTTAAGAATAAGTTTCTACTTTGAAATAAAATCTATTTGTAGCTACTGAGGAACTGCTAGGGTCCTAGAAAAATCTAAACCACTTATGAGTAGAACAAGAAAATGAAGAGGTACAGCAGGCATAAGGAATAACATGTAAGAAATAAAATACATAATCTTTACCCTGGAAACTTGGCAATTTGCTCTGCCTCAGAATGCCCTGTTCTTAAAGTAGCTTCTATTTAAGTATTTCTTGAAATCCACTGAAATGCTATAAAAACCTGAAGCTGCTACTAATACTATTAGGTCCCTGAATATGTTTAGGGAAAGCTATGACACGGAGAAAACAGACTCTCAGCCCTCTATTCTATGCCCATGCTCTGTTAACGACTCATACTTCTGAAGATCATATACGACTGATGTTTTAAGTGTCTCTCTTCAAAAGTCAAAGATTGAAGAGTATCTCCCTGTAGTGCCTCAATTCATTCTGTTCTCACGTTACGTGAAATGCCAGTTCTACACAGTAGCAATATATAGTCTAGCAACTTAAAAGTACATTGAGCAAACCAAAGGAGACTGCTGTCCCAAACCCCAATTCTTGCGTGCTTTAGAAATACACGGTACAATAATCTCTCAGGTGTTGTCTTAGCAGATTCTAGCACCCTAGATCTGCAAGTTACAAAATGGCCCAAAAGTAAAAAGCAAAATGGACGTAACAAAAGATCTCACATTCTTAAAGAACAACAGTAATTATAATGTACAGAAATTACCGTATCGGCCCAAAAAAGACAAGTAATTATTTCAAAAGAAATAAATACCAACCTTTCTGTGAACTGGATTAGAAACTGATTGTAGTTCAATGCTCACTCTAATACTCACTCTCCTGTGTGAAAAGATATGCCCAACTATCAGAAACAGTCACATGAAATGAATTATCACTGTCACTTGTACAGCTAAAGTTTCCCTTCATAAGCCACAAGATCTTCCACAGGTTGCCTCTAACTTATGAACTGATGTTTGGAAAGCACACTGGATCTGAAGTTTAAATTCTTGTTTTTCCATAGGGAAGTAGTCAGGTTTTTAACCTGAGGCTAAATTTTTCTCTCCTGTAAAAAGAAGTTGTTGTGAGGATTAAATGAGATAAACAACTTGGTATGTCTACTACTGGCCTAGTATACACCCTTAATGGCCTGAGTTTTCTCAAACAGCATCTATTGAACGACAAACCATCAATTTTATAACAACTTTTCACATTAAAAAATTACCAATTCAAATGATCTAATTGATTTATGAGCGATTTCATTTGAAAAATTTTAAATGTGAACTAATGTTAGAATACTTGGAATGTTTACAACCAGAAAAATCATATTCCCTTCCTTTATGCATACACAAAATTTCTTTTTCAGATCCACAAACTACATCCACTCAATAGACTCTCTATGCAATATATATCCACAGAAGTACTGTCAACAAGTTTATTATCATCTATCTAATCCTAGAGTAACTCCAAACCCTAAAGGGAAAAAGACCATAGTTTTACACATTCTGTATTGCATCTTAGAGAATCCAGTATCAAATAGAGACATATAAATAAAGGCGCTCATAAACATTAATCAAATTGTGCAAAAATATTTTAATAATTCGGGAAATAAAGGGATAATGATATAAAAAAAAATCCCTGTACAGGTGGTTCTCAAACTATTCTGCTAGGATTAAATAACAAGGGTCTTTCCCTGAGGGGCAGGGAAAGTAAACTAACAAACTGAATGTTTTCAATTTTAAGTTATTCTTTTAAAAACATATTTTAAATCTTTCTTACATTCTACTATTTATCTACTACAGACATAGCAACTGAGTGTTGATGGAGAAACTCGGGAATAGTTGACTAAGGCTAGATTCAACTGTTTGGATTTTTCTTATGCTCTGATTTGTAACTTAGATTGGTTGAATTCGTGTCATTGTAGTTAAGTTTCTTATTTAACACACGACTGGATGCTAAATAACAGGTCATACGATGAGGTCACAATGGCTTGTGCGTTACCCGAAAAGGAACAGGCAGCACTGGTGAACATCACAAAGGCAAAAAGACACTCTCAATTCCCTCATTTGTAAAGCAAGTGGCCTGAGTTAGGTTTGTGGGGGCCTTCTCAGCTCTGCAAGGTCATGATGTTTGGTGCTCATTTTCTGAAGCTTTTTCTAGTACGAACTACCACAACGAGACTTCCGGGCAAGATGGCGGAGTAGAAGGACGCTTGTAAGTCACCCTCTCCCACAAATACACCAAGACCCACATCTACAGAACTACCACAACGGCATGACACTGTTCGGTAACCAACTTGATATGGTGAGTTACACTTTTAAAACCGTCATATTTGATAAATCTGTAAAAAGAAAAAAAGTTCAGAAAGCATCCCTTTAATACAGTGTTCTTTACCTAATACTGGAAGAGTTTTATTACTATGCTAATTTCCCAATCATATTAATGATATTGTTGCATATATTCCAAAAGCCTATGCACATCAGATGCTGGGAGCAAAAAGGAGGAGGAAAGGTCCGCAGATTAAAACTATTCTCCACGAGGAGGGGAGGGTGTAGGTCAGTGGTAGAGCGCATGCTTAGCATGCACAAGGTCCTGGGTTCAATCCCCAGTACCTCCATTAAAAAAAAAATAATAAAATAAGTAAATAACTCTAATTACCCCTCCCCCTAAAAACTATCCCCAATATTTACTTCAAAAACCTTCTTAGAAATACTTTGTAGAAAAATGTGAGCTTTCAGAGGATCTGAAATCACAAATCTTACTTTTCTCCATTGTAAAGCTCAATGTTACAGGAACAATATAAAACAAATCAAAAAACACTTTCTCAAATAAACATCACACCTGAACAATGCATAAATCGACGTAACATCCTTCCTGTCAGTTAGATTTGGCATTAGCAAAACTGGATTCTAGCCCACCTCTGCCACCTAGTAGCTGTAACCTTAAATTCTCAATTCAAACAAAAGCTACTCTAAGCCAGGTACTATGCTGGGTGCTAGGGATACAAACAGAAATAAACATGGTCCACGTCCTCAAATTGAGATCAGATTAAATGACTTTACCCTAGATTTGCTCCTGATTGTATTTTAGGGCTACAAGAGAGAGGAGAGTTATTAACACTCATTGAGTACACACACGATTGAATACCTGCCAGGCATTTTGCTTTTATCACTTAACAACAATAATTTTGTTAAGCGAATATTATCTGTCTTACAAAGGAAAAACCTGAGATGCGTAGAGTTACAAACTTGGTTAAGGTCACACCACAGAGCCCAAATTAGAATTCAGATCTTTCACCTACACCATGCTATCTAATAAATGAATACACACAATTTCAACTTAGGCAACTTTGAAAAGGTCCCTATAGCAAAGGGATTTAAAACAGACAGTGCAGATTATGAAAGAAAAAGCATTTGAGGAAGAGGGAAGAGCAGGAGTAAAGGTATGGTACTGAGACAGCATCAGCTACATTCAGAGGGTAACAAATGGTCTTATGTGACTAACTACACTGGGGAGAGGAGGTCAGGAAACAAACTTGGAAGAGCAGGTTGGTGTTAAACCATGGGTTTCAAAGTTCTGAATCACTTTCCTCCAGACAGAGTTCTCTGAGCATTACCACTGTCTTCAGATGAAGTTCCTTCTACTCGGTGACTTTAGTTCATTTATATTACTTCATGCATTAATCACACTTTAATGATAGCTAATGTTTAGTGAATGCTCATTAAGTTCCAGGCACTGTTCTAAGCACTTCATATGTATTAATTTATTTCATGCTCATAATAATCCCACGAGGCAGGCACTTTTATTTTCATCAATTTAAAGATAAGGCACAGAAAAGTCAAGAAAAACTGTACAAAATCGAAGAGTAAGTGGTAAAACTGGGATTTAAACCCAAACAATCCAGCTCCAGAGCCTGAACTCTTAAATGTGTTGTGCCACTCCTCCAAGGAAGACCCTTTTGTTTTCCCTATGAAACTCTGAGTTCCTTGAGTGCTAGAGTGAAAACAGATTTTTATTTTCCTGCTATTGGAGGAAGGTGGGGAGGAGGGAGGGAGTTTTATATTCTCAGCACCTAAGACAATGCCTGGTACATAGCAGGCATTCATAAATATTTGCTGAGCTGAACTGGCCTTGAATATCCAAGGGTCTGGATTGGTTTTTCTATAGGTCAGGGGTCAACAAACTTTATCTGTAAAGGGCCAGAAAGGAAACATTTTAGGCTTTGCAGGCCATAAGGCCTCTGTCACATTTATTCATCTCCGCCCCTACAGCACATAAGAAGCAACAGACAATTCTTAAACAAATGAGAATGGCGGTATTTCATAAAACTTTACAAAAAAGGCAGTGGGCCATCTGGCCTATGGGCTCCAGTCGGCTGACCCCTTTTATAGGCGATGTGAATGGTTTCTAAACAGAAGGGATGAAAGGCTGAATTTGTGTTTTATGACGATAACTGTGATGGCAATATAATGAGACGGAGAGGATCTAAGAGTTTCAATATTGGAATGAAAAATCATCCCCTCCCCCTTCCTTTTATATTGTTATAATCATTCTAGAACAGGGCCATCCAATAGAGATACAATGAAGGCCACAAATACAAGTAATTTTTAGTTTTCTAGAAGCCACATTAAAAAAGTTAAAAGAAACAGATACATTTTAGTAACATTGCATTAACCCTATATATCCAAAATATTGTCATCTTAACACATAATCGATATAAAAATTGAAATAATTTACATTCCTTTTTTTCTTACAGAAAGTCTTCAAAGTCCGATGTGTTTTTTACTCTTATGGCACATCCGTTCAGATTAGCTCCATTTCTTTTGTCCAATAACCACTGTGGCTCCCATACTGGGCAGCACAGAAGAATAACCTACAGATATCCATTTACAGCTGCTGGTTTTGGTACCATTTCCTTGTCTGGCTTGCCAAGTGCTTTTGTACCTAATTCTGAACTATAGACTAGTTTCACGTTACTGGCAACTCAATAAATCAATGCCTTCATTTTTTACACGTCACATTTCCACACCATTTAGTTTTCACATACAGTTACACACTTGATCCTCATTAACAACCAACCGTGTGGACAGACAACTTATATGAGTTTTACAAATGAGGAAACTTAAGGGTCAGAGAAGTTAAGAGACAGCCAATGAGTGGTGGAACTGAAAAACAAAATTGAAATCTGCCTTTCAGCCAAATCTAGCAGCACCTCTTTAGTCAAAGTTGTAATCTTGTATTATGTGTGAGACTGGCCTGTCTTTCCTCCTTAAACAGACAGAAAACTCCATGAACGCAAGGACTTTTTCCTGACCCCTGTATCCCCAGGGCCCAGCAAGGTGTTTTGCAAACAGGCAGTGTTTGTTGAATGAATAAATGAATGAATGAATTTACGGTCTTCCCCAATTGTTTTTGGTCTATTAAAAGTAATGTATTTTCTTTTTAGTAATTAACATGAAAAAGAGGCAATATACCGTAAAACTGATTTTTTTAAGTCGAAGCTTAAAATTACTTCCAAAATAATTCGAAGGAGAGAGAAAATAGGGTCGGGAGCCAAGGCCTGAATTTAGTGCCCGCCCTGCCATGAACTCGTGAGCACTTGTGTAAATTATTTCTCTCGGCCAGAGCTCTTATCTGTCAAAAAGAGAGCAAAGGGCTATAATCCCCACGATTCAGTTCAAAGTTGTTGTTGTTGTTGCTGTTTAGTTAACCTGATGCAGGTCAGCGCCCCCATTTCTTACACCCTTCCCTCCTCAGCAACGGCCGACCTGGTGAGAGAAGGAACCCCGAGGTCCCAGCTGGGTCGGTCTCCGCGTCCCGGGACGCCGGCCGGACACCCAGCCGCAGGGCGGTGCCCACTGGCCGCAGCCGCCATCTTTCCCCCTTGGCCCGACCCCAACCGCCACCCGCGGGCAACGGGGTAACGCGGCCCTCACCTTTCCTCGCAGTCTTTGCATTTCACCTGCAACGGGACTAGCTGCTGGAACAGAACCTGGCTCATGTTGAACCGCTGCCCCCGCGGGTGTACGGAGAAGTCCTACAGGCCCGGCCCGCGGGTACTAGCCCGAAAGCCGCCCGGGCCCTATTAAAGTTTTAAGTTTGGCGCTCGGCTTCCGCGGAGAGGGCGGGGAAAGAGAAACAGAGGGGAGACGGAGGAGAATTGGACCTCGCCAGCCACCATCAGCTTCTTCCGGTTTTGCGGAGGATGGGCGGGTAGTTCCGGGCGTGTCTTGCGTGGCGGGACCTGAGGCAGCCATATTTGTTAAGGGAAGGGGACCCGAGAGAAAGTGACAACTTTTCCTCTCTCCACCCAATCGATGCTAGCCATCCGAAGCGAGCCCTGAATTATGGCGGCTTCTGCGCCGACGCCGCACGGAACTGGCTTTCCAATTGAGGGGCGATGTGGTTACTATGTGGAAAAGAAGAAGCGGTTCTGCAGGATGGTGGTGGCAGCAGGGAAAAGGTTCTGTGGTGAACACGCTGGAGCCGCGGAGGTCTGGTATCGCCCTACCCTCTCGAGAGTCGGAAATAAGTTTGCTGGTCCGGCACCTCCCCTCTGACAGATTTCCCCTTCTGTCCCCTGGATTTTCCAGATTTTCCTGTGATAAACGCGGTCCTGGCCTCCCTAGGGAGCAATGATGCGCCCTAATGAAGTGCAGTGTTCTCTTGTACTAAGTAAAGCGCCAGCAGTGACCCGGTTATCTTGATTCCAACTCATAGTAATGCTAGATTTTAGCTTTACTGCAGACTCTCGCTTCTTGCAGTCCGCCCAATCTCCGCTTTCCTGATGGGAAGGGGTAGTTCAGAAAGAAGAAAGATCAAAGAAAGATCTAAGGTTTCGCTAATTGTGTTTTTATTGTTTCGTGAATAATCACTTCTTGTGAATGCGGTTGAAAGAAACTTTTTAAAATCTTTATTTAGGCATACAATCTTTTGAAAGCAGCTAATAACTACTTTGCTGAAAAGGGGAAGGAAAAATTTTTTTAATGTGTAAGAATTGTCTCTCCTCTTAAAAATTGGTAACAAAAAGTGTACAATTTTGTCCAATTATACATATGATTGTACCGTCAACAATATATATTTTTAGGTACGTGTATTTCTTTAGGATATATATGATAGAAAAAACAAAAAGAAGAGCAGAATACTCGTAAAAAAAAATAGCATATTTAATAGGTTTTAGAAAGAATAAACCAAAGAGACAAGCGTATGATTTCATGCCTTCTGAATGTCTGGTATTATTTATGTTATTTTTCTTTGTTAGTCAGATGGTTTATCTTTCTAGGCAATATCCAGTACAGATAAGCTCCCAAAGCCCCTTCGTCAGCTGCTGTCCTTCAGCCACAGCTCTACTTCGTATTTTGACTTGACTGATATTTGCCTAGAGGGATATTTGTTCTCAACTAAGACCTTACACTTCACCGTAACTAGACATCCAGAAGGTGACTGCAGGTGGTGACAGTAGTAGAATATGAATAGATCCTTACAGGATGGTCCGTATTCCTGGAGAGGAATGGCATCGTATTGTGATTAATCACTTGAAGAAACATTGCAAAATACCGAGTGGAAGCGTTTTCCATGACTGTGATTTGGTTTTCAATTTTGGGCATCCTACTGAATCTGTGATTTATAACATAATTGGGTGTCATATTTAAATCTTTTTTTCCTTAGGTGTCATATATAGCTGAGAAGACTTGTATTCATTTTTACCCAGTGGTTCTTAGATGGGGATGATTTAGTGTTCCCAGGAGACATTTGGCAATGTTTGGAGACGTTTTGGTTGTCACAGCTGAAGAGTGTTTTTGGCATCTAGTGGGTAGAGGCCAGAGATGCTGCTAAGCATCCTACATTGCGCAGGGCAGCCCCCACAAAAAAGAATTATCCAGCCCAAAATATCAATAGTGCCAAGGTTGAGAAACCCTGTTTCTAAACCCAGATAATAAATTTTAATAACAAATTTTAAAAGTGCTTTTTTTACCCCTACTCTATGGTTAGACTTTGGGAGGTTAGTCTTCTCTTTTATGGAGGTTAGACTTTAAAATCAGCAAATAAGGAAGAATAATGTATTTTCAAAAAGATACTGAAAAATCTCTTCTTGTTCATGAAATTCAGTGTACATAGTTTTGTGGATATGCTGGGAGGCAGATCAGAACTGAAATAAACTCAAAAAAGAATTATTAATATAATAATAGTGGCTACTTAGCATTTACGATATGAACAGCACTGTGCTAAGCAGTTTTTTTTTCAACTATTAGTTCACTTAAATTTTACAAACCTTAGGAGGTAAGTTATATTCATCTTTTAGATGAAGCAATAAGCCCACCTCAGATTGTAGAGTTAGGAGCTGATAGAATTGGGAATCATACCTAGGCAGTCTGGCTAACCAGTGGTTGTAACTATCATACTATCCTATTACATACAGATTCATATTAACGTTGGGTAGAATTGCCAACACTATTCCTTTATTTTTCCCAAATGCATGTAGTTAAGTCCATGTAACTTAGAAATGAACAGTATGTAACTCCTCTATACTAAAGAGTTGAAAAGCCAGTAAAGTATGATCACATACCAAATGGTTAAAATACAGATGGTCCTCAACGTACCATGGTTCGACTTAGGATTTTTCGACTTTACTGTGTTACGGGAGCAATAGGCATTCAGTAGAAAGCGTCCTTTGAATTTTGAATTTTCATCTTCTCCTGGGCTGGTGATATGCAGTGCTGGGCAGTGGTGGTGAGCCATGGCTCCAGGTCAGCCACACCACCACGAGAGTGAACAACTGATATGCTTACATTCAGTCCCCATATGACCATTCTGTTTTTCACTTTCAGTATCCAATCAATTATGTAAGATATTCAATGCTTTATTATAAAATAGGCTGTTAAATGACTTTGCCCAATTGTAGGCTAATCTAAGTGTTCTGTTCATGTTTAAGATAGGCTAAGTAGGTAGGTTAGACATATTTGACTTAGGATATTTTCAACTTACTATGGGTTTATCAGGATGTAACTCTATTGTAACTCAAGGAAGATTTGTATTTCATTATTTCTGAGATACTTTTATTTTACATTTTAACATCTCTGAAGTCAGAATGCTTCTTAAAATCAACAAAAAAAGGCATAATTTAAATTGGCAGCATTTTTTTCTTTCTTAGTAATGTCTAAAATAAGTGTATGTTACTGTCAGTGCTATCATAGATTCAGAATTCTATATGTAGACCTTCTCTGTAACCTATTTGAAGCTATAAACCCTTGTTTTCCAAAGCAGTATTTGCTCGTATGTGCAAAAACCAGCTACCACTGGAGACGTTTTTTAACTGAAGTATATATGATGTTATAGTATATGTTACAGATGTACAATATAGTGATTCATGATTTTTAAAGGTTATACTCCATTTATAGTTATTAGAAAATATTGGCTATCTTCCCTGTGTTGTACAATGTATCATTGTAGTTTATTTATTTTATACATAATAGTTTGTATCTCTCAGTCCCCTACCCCTATATAGCCCCTCCTCCCTTCTCTCTCCCCACTGGTAACCACTGGTTTGTTTTCTGTAAGTCTGTTTCTTTTTTGTTTTTTGTTCGTTTATTTTTCCTTTTTTTTAATTGAAGTGTAGTCAGTTTACAATGTTGTGTCAGTTTCTGGTGTACAGCATAATGTTTCAGTCATACATATACATACATATATTCCTTTTCATATTTTTCATATATACAGATATTGAATATAATTCCCTTCTTCTTTGTTTTGTTCACTAGTTTGTTGTATATTTTAGATTCCACATATAAGTGATATCATAGCACTTGTCTCTGTCTGACTTATTTCACTTAGCATGATACCCTCCAAGTCCATCCATGTTGTTGCAAATGGCAAATTTTAATTTTTATGGCTGAATAATATTCCATTGTATGTACATACGTGTACGTGTGTGTGTGTGTGTGTGTGTGTATACACACTATATATACACACCACATCTTCTTTATCCATTCATCTGTTAATGGACACAGGTTGCTTCCATATCTTGGCAGTTGTAAATAATGCTGCTATGAACATTGGGGTGTGTGTATCTTTTCTAATTAGTGATTTGGGGTTTTTTTCAGATGGATACCCCAGAATGGAATTGCTGGGTCATTTGGTAGTTCCATTTTTAGTTTGTTGAGAAACCTCAATGCTCTTTTCCATAGTAGCTGCACCAATTTACATTCCCACCAGCAGTGTACAAGGATTCCCTTTTCTCCACATCCTCACCAACATTTGTTATTTGTATTATTTTTGATAAAAGCCATTCTGACAGGTATGAGGTGATACCTTACTACACTGGAGATTGTTGTTTTTGATTTTTGTTTTATTAATATCCTTTTAAGGTTTCCTTACCTTGTTTTGGGATGGTATAAGCTTATGTTTACACTGAAGTTATATTTAGTATCTGTAAAGCAAAAAACTTGATATTTTATTCAAATAAAATATATCCTTTTTTTTTAATAGGAAGAAAATGCTCGGAAAAGAATCCTATGTCCTTTAGATCCAAAACAGTAAGTATGGGTCAGAGAAGGGTTTTTCTGTGCTGAAAACAGTAATTATCATGGTCTTATTTTAAATAGTTTTTTCTTTATATTTAGCACAGTATATGAAGATCAACTAGCAAAGCATTTGAAAAAATGTAACTCAAGAGAGAAGCCTAAACCTGTAAGTGTTTGATTGGTAAAACACTTGAATGATGAAATGTGTGATATGTAATCTTTATATATACTTGGTAGATTACAAATGTGAATTTTTAACAAGGCTCTTGCCTCAGGAGGCTTAAATATGGCAAATACCTTTGAGATAGGACATCTGATTGTGAATCTACTGAAAGTCCTAATTCAGATAATAGAATTTTATGCAACAAGAGTGGTATTTAGAGAATAATTCCACAATTTGTTTATTAAACAATATTTACTTAGTACCTACTAAATTTATTTCAATTAAATATGATCCCAGCCTTCCAAGGAACTTATTTGAGATTGGTAAGTAAACTTGTAAATAGTGGATATTTTTTAATAATTTCAATGATTTGAAACGAGCACATTTGATACGAGCACACACTTGCTTTGAAATTAAATCCGAGGGGTCAAGTAAGGCTTCCCAGGGGGAGTAACACTTGTGCCGCGCCCTGGTTTGGCAAAGAAAAGGAGCAAGAGTCCTTCCAGATGGAGAGGCAGGAACTGAGAAGGCGCATGAAGTTGTCAAGGAATTTGGACTTGTTCTGAAAGATATGAGGAACCACTGAAAGATTTCAAGCAAGAGTATGGTATTAGATTTATCTCTTAGAAAACTTTCTCTTAGAGCAATGTGGGAGGATGACTTGGAGTCGGAAGGACTAGTTAGGGCCATTGCTGCAAAGATGTGAAAAGAGACTGAATTAAACAGGATGGAAAAAATGTAGGTAAATTCAAGAATTATTTAGGTACCAGAATCAGTAAATCTTGGTGACTGATTGAAAATTCAGAGTTGGATACATGAGTCTAAAATTTGATAGAAAGATTGGGCAAATAATAAAGATTTAGAAGTCAATACATACAGATCATAGGTGAAGCTTTGGACTTTTAAGTTACCCAGGGTAAGAGATTGAAGGGGTGAGAGCTTGTTTATTCAATAGATATTAACTGGACACTTATGCCAGGCATCGTACCAAGCACCCTGCCTGGAACAACGTTACAGTCTAGTGGAAGAGACAGAAGATGCAATATTATATGTGTTAAAATGGATTAAGTACAGGGTGCTGTGGAAAAATAAAAGAGGAGAGCCTAACCCTTTTTTGGGAGGACTTAGCAGGTGAGAGAGATGGGGAAGGAGTCAGGGAAGCTTCTCTGAAGGAATGTCATCAGATGAGACCTAAAGGTCAAGGGGAGGTCATCCAGATAAGGAAGAAAACATGGATAAGGGTCTAGAAGTGAGAGAGTAGACAGCTTCGTCTGAGACTGGGCCTTTCACATGATGAGTATGGAATACAAGGGGAGAACAGAGTAGAAGATGAGAGGTAGGCAGGAAGTAGAGTGTGAGACCACGGACAGAGCTCTAGGTGACACTGACATTAAAGAGCTCTAGGTGACACTGCCAGTAGGAAGCATAGAAAAATATTGAGACAGGATGCCTGGAGAGGTAGGAAAGAAAGAAAAAAAAAGCAAAACCATGGTATATCAGAAGACAGGGGAAGGAGAATTTCAAAAGAAAAGAGTGGTCAATTGTGTCCAGCATCACAGAGGAATCAAGTAAGGAGGAACAGGAGAATCCATTGGGTTGAAAGTATGGCGGTGGTTAAAGATGAAAGAGTTTAGCAAAATGCATGTGTAATAGAGTAGAGCAGGCAGAAATCAAACTGAAATGGCACAGGAGTAAATGGAAGATAAGGTAGTAGAAATCACAAGCATAGCCTATTCTTTAAAGCAACTTGTCTGTGAATGAAACTGGAGAGTTAGATTGGTAGTCAGAGAGGAAGGTAGGATAGAAGGAGTATGTTTTAAGATGGGTGAAAATTTAGTTTTATTTATGTGCTTAGAGTAATGAGCCAGCAGAGAGGAAGAAATTGGAAATAGAAGAAGACATCATAGATAATGTGAGGTTCACCAGGAAGCAAGCAGAGATAAGGTACAAAATAGAAGTAGACAGGAACAATGAGAGAAAAAACTCTTTCGCTGAGGAGGATGGGAATGAGTAAAAGACAGGGATCGGTTCAGGAACATTTCAGCTGACAGGGGGTTAATTCAGAAAGAGATGAGGCGATTGAGGGGGATGATGGTGTAGCAGGAGATCTGAGTAGAGAGGTAAAAGTTTAGAATTAGAGTTATGAAGAAGAATTGCCAGGCATCCTTGAGAGTCAGACTGAGATGGAGACACTGAGTGTGAACTGGCACCAGGCCAAATGACTGAGCAGTTTTGCTTCAGCAGTGTTCAGCAGGCCAGATACTGGGAGTTAAAAATCGTATTAACACAGGCATTAGGTTTTGTAAGGGTGTGTGTGATGGAAGGACCTGATTGTGAAAGATGATGATAACAACAGTACTGAGTGTCCAGACTGGATGGCATAAAAGGGAAGCCATCAATTAGCTGAGGGAAAGTAAATAGAGGCCTTTAAAAGGTGAAAGAACATGATTAGGAGCAAGAGAGTCGCTGTACTTTGTACTAACATAGTGCCCAATCTAGAGGGCCCATTAAAGTAGTTTGCCAAAGTGGAGTGAAGGTCACTAGAATTAAGGTCAACAGAGCTATTTGTTGGGTGGCTTGAAAACATGGTCAGATTGGCTGAACTTAGTGGAAAGAGCAGCTTGATGTCAAAATTCCTAATGAATATCGAATAATGACCAACAGATTGATAGTCGACAACTGCTAGATTTAGAAGAAAATTTAACAGCCCAGTATTTCTCAGTGGGGGCTTTTGTCATTTTAAGTGGGACAGTCATATCATGTGCACTTCAACGCATCCCTGTATTTAGCATTCCTGGCTTCTGAGTGGCAAATGACAGAGGCCCTTGTCAAGAAGTTTGAAGGATCTGAAATTTTATTTTCAAGCTAACAAGTTACCTTGCTACAAGTTTGTTGATGCTGGTGGAAAATACGAGACTCCTGGGTCAGTGACAAAGGGCTTTGTTACTCAGTGCACAGCAAGCAGCATGAGCTTCTTCTCTGCATCAGTTCCTCTTGCTCCCTAAGTTCCCTCGAGATGGAGGGGCCTTGATCAGTGCTACGCATATTTGTGCATAGCTGTGTCATAGCTGAAAAACCCCAAGCGTAGGAAATACACAGCTTTTTAAACAGGCAGTAGGGAAACCTGCCTGAGCTTTGTTCCATAAGTAGACATTGCTTTATTATACTGTACAGTAAGCAGGCCTGCCATGTGCTCTGGAAGGAGACACTGTTTCTTCTAAGATTGCTTGGTATGCAAATATCCTTGAAAAGATAGTCTAGAATAAAGGGAGTTGGTGCCTTTGCTTGTAAGACTTGCAGAAAATTGAGATTCCTGTGGATAATTGTCTCCCAACATCACCTCTCAGTCATTTTGACAACAAAGTATCCTTACACGTTTCCAAATGCCTCCCAATTAAGCATCATTAGGCCAGATGGCATAAGTTGAAAAAGAAAATATTTTTGCATTAAGATGTGTAGAAAAATAATGACTACCCCAGTGAGCCCCTTAGAAAAAAGAAAGAATGTTGCCTTTGCTTTCAAGTAGGCATGAGGTTATCTTCCTTACCTACGTGTCAAGCTTTAGTTGAAGCAAGCAGGTGGAATATGTGCTCCGAGAAAAGTTTGAAAGGAGAAGTGGGTTTATTAAAAATGGAATCCCCCTGCGCAGATTCCACTGCATGCTGGGACACAGTGGAAAGGAAAGGGAGGAAAGCAGTGGGATGTGAGGAAAATGCAGCGCAGTGTTTATCTAGTACGCTATCTATGGCGTGGAACTTGGAACCAGGTACAGTCTTATCACTCTTTTGCTTTACTAATAGTTATAGCTAATTTTCTATTGTAGTTTTGCCAGTCATTCAACAAAATATTCTAAATACCCGCTGTCTTCACCTGTTCCACTTAATCGCCTGTCGCTAGTATTACCCGTGTAGGTAAAGGCAGCATCACGCAGTCAGCATGTGACCTTTCTACCATCTGTGTAACCCAAGCCCATTTATGCATAAAGTCCCGGGAGTTGTTTTCACTTTCAAAACAGATTGTGAAATTAGTACTATTTCATTCATCTGTATCTACGTGGTTCAGTGTGGTAGCCACTAGCCCTGTGTAACTATTTAAATTTCACTTAATGAAAGTTAAACAAAATTGAAAATCCAGTTCCTTAGTCGCACGAGCCATGCTTCTAGGCTAGTAGCCACCATGTTGGGCAGAACAGATACAGAGCACTTCCGTCATTGCAGAAAGTGCTGTTGGACAGTGCTGATCTAGATTCTTGCTTCAAGTCTGTCTCTCTAAAAATGGACTAAACAGATCTCACTATGTTAATTTAAATAAGATAGCATCACAGGACATTTCCACTTTCTATTTTAATTAGTAGTTTAAAATAGGAAAAATCAGACCTAAACTGTTGTGCTGTATCTCTGTTTTTGATCATACTACCTACCTATCTGAAAAGTAGCCATTTGTAACTCTGTTTTTGTTGTCTTTGCTTTAAACTGTAAGCAAAACTGACATAGTCCACAGTCTATGCTGGAGACACAAAAACTTCAGTAAGAATTACTAATGAATTTCTTCAGGCTATAAATATTTATTCACAATACCACATCACTAGAATATAAGATCCATGAACACAGAGGTTTTTGTCTGTTCTGTTCTCCACTGTAGTGAATCCTCAGCATCTGAGACAATTGAAGGGCCGCAGTACATGCTGAATAATTATTTAATGAATAAATGAATGGGAGGAAGGGAGGATGGCAGGTACAGAGTATTGGAAGAAGGGATGGATCAGTTTTTCAGTTTAATTTTTGTGAACTCTTCACATTAATAACAGTAGTGTTATGTTTTCGTTTTGTTTTGTTAAGGACTTCTTTATTCAAGATATTAATGCAGGCTTAAAAGATGAAACAGAAATATCTGAACAATTAGTAAGTATTTACCTTTAATTTTAAAAAGTATTTATGAACACTTCCACACTGTGAATAAGCTCTGTTCTAATTTTTGGAATAAATTAAGTGTTTTGATTTAGAATGCATTTCTGATAGAGTCAACATTATGAGTGGTGGTTGGGTCCCAGACCAGCTCACACCCCATTTTTGTGTATAGGTTCCAATTTCGTCTCTCTCTGAAGAGCAGTTGGAAAACTTAATTAAGAAATTGAGAAAAGCGAGTGAAGGTAAGTCTGCCTAAAGTTGCAAGTTAACTTTTTTTTTAGAAAAATCAGGTGGTATATGAGTTAATTCCACTGTGCTTTAAAAGATACTACTACCGTTATTCAGAGCCCTGTGGTTTCATGTTTGGTTCCTTAAGCTTTTGTGCTTCTATTTGGCACAGGTTTGAACTCAACACTTAAAGATCAAATCATGTCCCATCCAGCATTGCATGATGCCCTTCATGACCCTAAAAATGGTGATTCTGCAACCAAACATCTGAAGCAGCAGGTATGTTTAAGCCATAGTAACGCTACTGAAAATGGCCTTTTTGTTCATTTGTTAAAAGCTGTTGTTTTTAAATGTAGTTATTACTGAGATTTTGTTTGGATTATCTTTCAGGATACAGAATCTTTCCATTTCAAAAAATGTGTATAAACACAGATAAAGAATTTTTGGCATGGTTATGATTCTGAGTACTACATGTTAAATATTTAAAAGCAAGAGAAAAACTTTAAAGCCAAACAGAAATTATCAATGTGCTCCCCTATGTAGAAGTTACTGTGCTATTTTCCCATTTGAGCCAAATGTGTTTGCTCTAGTTTACAAAATAATCTTGTGAAGTTTGCAGGCTTCTATTTTAGGTAACATTGAAAAATTAAAGTTACTTGGTCCAAGAAGATGCTTTGTTGAGTTTGGAGCAGGAAAGGGAAAATTATCTCACTGGGTTGATATTGCCTTAAAAGATGCTGAAGAAGTTCACTTCATCCTAGTAGAAAAGGTGACCACAAGATTCAAGGTAAGTGAAACCATTGCAGTATATTTTGCACTCTTCTTGTTTGAAAAAAAGAAAAAATGATACTCAAAAACATACCTCTTAAAGAAAATGAATTTTTGTGTGTTTATTTGATTATAGCTTTTTATCCTAATTATATTAATGACTTAAACTGAAGGTAAATTTCTTAATCTAAATTTTGATAGTTCATTGATCTGAGTTCCTAAAGTATTTCCAGAGATAAGGAAATATGTGGAAAGAGCCAAGCTCAAGCTAAGGGTTAAAAAATCTTGGTCCTAACCTACCTCTGCCACTTACTATTTATTCAGTAAACAATTATGGAGTGTAGCACTGGCTCCAGGATTGATATTGGGTAAAGTCAAAAGAGACACGGTCCATATGTTCTGCACTTATATTTAAAAAGAAGAGACGGACAAATAAATAAATGTTATAGAAAAGTGCTAAAATATGAAAAAAGTCTGCACAGAGTATAGTGTGGGTTCAGAGGAGGGAGTGACAAGTTTTATTGCAGGAAGGGATGGTGAATGGCTACACAGAAAGGGTGATGTTAGAGCTATATCTTGAAAAGTGGATATTTGCTAGATTCAGGGTTTAAGAAGCATTCTAAGAAGCAAGAACAATGTACCCAAATGCCAGAAACATGGGAACATTTCCGTGTGATGGGAGGTAGAGTTCAGCAGTGATTAGGTGGGAGAGACAGGCTAGACAAGGGAAGGTTTCATTGGGGAAGGAATTTGGTTTTATCGAGCTACACACTGGGGATACACTGGAAAAAGGATTTAGTTCTGGACTTCAAGAAGCTTACATATAATGGGACAGAATTATAAGTATATTGGTTCATTATCCTAAGTGTCTTACGATAATGGTAAGTACCAGGTGCCATAGGAGTGTAAAGACAACAGCAGCCTCAGTCTAGTGCGGGTCACTGAAGGTTTCCTGGAGGAAGTGACAGCTGAGAGGAGATGGAAAGAATATATAAGAATTGACAAAGAAAATAGAAAAGGGTTTTAAAACTTCATCCTAGCAGCACCATTAAAGCTGTATCAGAAGAGTCTGAAACTTGAAGTAGGGACATTAGTAATAAGACAGTTCTTATCCAGCAATCCAAGTAAGAAATGGGCCAGAGCTAAGGAGGTTGCAGTGAGATGGAGAGGAGGGAAGGGGTGTGAGAAATGTGTTGATGTTGGAAGCCAGGAGACTTGGTGATTATCCATTAAGTGTGAAAGAGGAGTTACTTCTGGTGACCTTTTGTGGCTCAAGTGACTAAGTGGCATTCTTCTCTGACATACTGAATATAGAAGGAGGAAGAAGACAAATAGTTTGAAGGGACAGATGAGTTCAGTTTTGAAAGCAGAGCTTTCTAGTTCACCACTGGATTTGTGTCAGTGCTCATCAGAAGGGTTCTGGGCCACAGTGTAGATGTATAAATCATAGGCACATAGATACCAGGTTAGAATGACTGTAATCTTTCAGGGAGTGTAAGAAGAGGAGCCAGCCAAAAATAGTGTTTTAGGGACTGGCAAATTATCCTGGGTATGTCATCTATGAACTTTAGTTCCTTCATCAGTGAAGTGGGAATTTTTAGAGTTAAAGGAAATAATGTGTACATAGTAACGTATAAAATTTTCAAGCCTTATAAAAATGTTTGCTGTTATTATTTTGGAGTCTTCATCACAGAATTTTAATTTTTTAATTAATACTTCTATTTTTCAAATACTAAAAACAATGGAAAATTATTTGCTCTGAATTTTGTAAACAAATACAAATCTTTCTATTTTCATAAAGCTTTCTTCTACCTAAAAGCCATTGTTATAATGATGTTCCTTTTGTGCAGGTTGATGGCAAACACAGAAAGAAAAATTCCGTGTTTGAGAGACTTCAAATTGATATTCAACACTTGTGTTTGAGTAAGTTGCATAACTTTCAGTTGCCCTCCCATAAATCATAGAAGTTTCAGACTCTGAGGGTTGCTTAGAAATTCAATCATGCAAAACAGTGCTTCAGGGAAAACAAAAATTAATCCATTGTTAATATAGAATGTTATGTCTAGCATTTATATAAATATAAATGGAATTACAGTTGAAAGTTTAAAAATTATGTTTCAGTATCAACTAGAAATGAAATGTCATACTAGGGAATAGTTTAGAAGCTTTGATAATATGTCTTTACGTTGTTTCTTTGTCCTGTTTTAATTAATTACTGTGTCTTTTCATACCATATGCTAGCCTTCTGCCTACAGTTAACGTGACTTTACCTAAACTGTTAAAGAGATGAGATAGTTCCCTGCCTAGCTAATATGTGAAAGAACTGCCTAGAATTTTGAATTGTACCAAAGGAAAACACCCATCTCTGTGGAACTCATATTTCATACACATATACACACACAAACACACACACACACTCATTAATCATACTCTTTAGTGCCCTTTCTGTGTCTTTTAATAGTTTTTCATATTATTTAAAATGAAAATAATAAAAACGTATGCCAGCAACCTCTTCCACTAGTTTTAACTCAGCCTTGTGATGCAGTCCACAGCGGGCCTGTGTAGCAAATTAAGTTTGTTGAGTTAATAATTAATCTATAATTTTGTTTACTTGATCTTTTTAAAATGTATTTGTTTTAATACATCAATCAAGTATTCTGTAAGTTTCCATCTTCCTAAAAAATTCTCTCCTGGATCCTTCAGACTTGTTCCAGTCCAGACTGTATGCCTTCTATTCCTGGGGCACAGTGGTCAACCTTAAAACTCTCTTCTTTCTCATCCTGCAGATTCCTCTCACTCTCCTGGGTTGGAATTTATTTTTCTGCATCTTATCACACATCTTCCTCTATTGATTTACTCTCTTTGAGCCAAGCACCTCCTCCCATAGCCTCCTGAGGAACAATTGTAATAGAGAGAAATTTGAAACCTTGCATTTTCTGAAAATATCTTTTATTTTACCCTTACACTTGATTTGGCTGGGTATTTCTATTTCTAAGTTGAAAATCACTTTCCTTTAGAATTTTGAAGCTATTACTCTACTAGTATTATTGTTTAGAAATTCAGTGCCATTCTGAGTCCTGATCATTTGTATGTAATCTGCCTTTTTCTTTCTAGAAATTCATAGGCTCTTTTCTTTGTCCTCAGGATTCTGAATTCTCAGTGATGTGTTTTGATGTAGTTATATTTTTATCTATTGTGCTGGGCACTTGGTGGTCTCTTGCGTTTACAGCAGTCTTTCTCAACCAGAGGCAGTTTTAGCCCCCAGGGAACACTGGCAAGGTCTGAGACACTTCTCTTTGTCATGAGAGGGGACATGCTGCTAACATCTGATGGGAGCCTGCAGTCCCGCTCCCCACAACAAAGGATTATTGGGGCCAAAAATTAATAATGCCAAGGATGAGAGATCCCGATTTAGAGATCTAGCATTCTCAGCTTCCTGGGAAGGCTCCATGCATTCTTTCTTTCATAATTTTCTCTGCTCCATTTTCTCTTTTCTCTCTTTATGGAAGAACTTCTATGATTTAGTTATTTGACCTCCTGGAATGGTTCTTTACTTGATTTGCCTTCTCTGTTCTGTATCTTTTGGCCTTTTCCCTATACTTTCTAAAATTTCTTCAACTTAATTTCTTCTAGCATAGTTTTAATTTCCAAGATTTTTTTCTCTGAATTTATCTTTGCTAGTATAACCTGTTCTTTTTTCATGCTTGCAACATCTTTGTGAGGATATTAATGATAGCTTTTTAAGAAGTATACTCCCTTCGTATTCTGTTTTCTCTAAGTTGCTCTTTTCCATTTGTTTTGGTCTTTTTCAACGTAGGGGCTGTCCTCAAACATCTGTGCTTTTTGACAGTGTGTTCATAGTTCAGCCTGAGGGACTAAGAGCTCTCAATCCTCGGGTAGAGTTGGACTTACCTAAGATGTGATCTTTCCTCTTGGGCTGGTCGGGTTGCCCAGAGAAGACTGCTGATCACCTGCCTGGAGGGTAAAGGTCAGGTTACCAACATTCTGGGACCCAGGAGGGAGTAATAGCTTAATCCATATGCACACCCACTTAATCCTGCTCTTTTACCGCACTTCAACTTTCAACTTCTTATGTCCTCAGTCTAGTGACCTCCTGTTTTATTTGCTCCAGGGAATTAATCTGCAGTTTTGCACCAAGTGGCTATGAGGTGAGGAGGACTGCTTCTTAACTAGCCCTTCCACCACAGCTCTGTTACAAATGACTCCCTAAGTTACCTGGTGCCCCCAATTCGTGAACCTTCGGGAGATTTGTGAAGTAAATTTAATGGGTTCTCAGCGTTTCCCACTTTTATCTCCTTTTCTCTTCTTCCACATCTTATGAATGGCTTTTTAAGAGTCCTTTTATTCCCATTTTGATGGGGTTTTAGGAGGGAGCAAACTAGATGCTTGTATTCAATCTGCCATCATTGCCCAGAAGTTCTGCCCTATTTTCTAAGCCCAAAGAAATAGGAGAGAGAAGAAATGAGGTAATTTTCAAGCATAAGAGCTTTCTTAGACAGCCTTTCTCTTCACCTTGATTGGTAAGTTTCTTAAACCGCCTTAATTTAAACCTCTGTATTCCCTTACACAGGCAAACTTTCCCACTTGGTGCCAATTTCTTCTAGCATGTGATACCATCTGAAAGCAAGCCACAGAAAATTTGAAATATTTACTGAGGACCTCCATTGGACAGTTCAGTGTGCTGGGTGCTGTAGCTGGATTTGTACAGAGAAGCATACTTTTCATGTCAGAATCTTAGAAAAAGGAAAATGAATACGGGGGAAAGATGGAAACATTAACTGTGATATACTACATTTTACTGCATTACCTTGAAGACATCTTTTTTTTTGCTTTTACACTACTATTACGAATATTTTCTTTTATTCAGAACAGTGTGAAAAGCTAAGATAATATCTTATTCTGATCATTAAGATCTAGTAAAAGCTCTTTTTGTGTATCATAATATTGAAAATAGTATTCTATAATATAAAACATTAATTGTATTATTCATGTGTATTTATCCTATATGTTATTTATGCAAGATAAATCTGGTAGGAAAGGTTTTGAGTCCTTTTAACAATAGGTTAATAAAATTTAGCAAAATAAGGCTTCTACAGGATAAAGCCCTGGGTTGGTATATAAGAAATAGTAATGGCCTAAGAGTCAAGAAACTTAAACTGGGGAGTAAAGAACTGGCTGGGGATGAGGAGGGAAGAAAAGAAGAAAAAGAGAAGAAATTTTAACTGATTCTGGCTGTGTCAGTAGCCATCTGCATTAATCCTCAAGTCACTCCATCTTTGAGCCTCTTATTTCCATGCTATAAAATAAGAATTTTTTTGTTTGTGTCTCTTTCTGCCCTAAAATGCAAAGATTCTAATTAGTTCTCTCCTTGGGAGGCCACTTAATGCCTTATCTCACAAGAGAGCTAACTCAGATCTCAATTTTTTTTTATTTCAGACAAGATTCCTTTGCTAAGCAAAGAAAAACTGCCTGTAGTAGGAATTGGAAAGCATCTGTGTGGTGTGGCAACAGGTATGTAAATGTACTAATAATGTCTAGAGGAACCCACTAAGTCTTAGCTTAACATGGTCCCAAACATTTAAACAGTCTCTTTTGAGTAGTTTCTATCCGTTATGTTTACAACTCATTACTCTTCATAGTAGTACTAGGCCTGTAATATATCAGATTTAGAGCTTTCTGATTTGTCTGCTCATTTTGGGCATTTTACAGGATGAATTAAGAGTTTTATGTGTGAAATGAGGGATTTATAGCTCAGTGGTAGAGTGTGTGCTTAACGTGTACGAGGTCCTGGGTTCAATCCCCTGTACCTCCATCAACAAAAAAAAAGAAGAAGAAGAAAAGAAAAGAGTTTTATGTGTAAATACTGTGTCATATGGGATTTAAAGTTCTTTGGGTTATATTTCAACCAAAAGGGAAATAAATCATTTATGGAAACTGTATGATTCTGTCTCAGAAGCTTTTGTAGAAGAGTTGTTTAGGTAGGACTCTGAAACCTCTCCCACTAGAAGGTGATTATATGTTCGGATTCTAGGGGAAACAAAAAGGAAATGTTAAGATGTGTTGTCTTAGCACTTGGATCGATCGATGTAGCATGATAAAGTAGAAAGAGCATGGGCTTTGACGTCAGAGAGTCCAGAGTTCAACTTTGCTGTCTCCCCTTGGCAAAACACTTAACCCTTCTGAGCTCTGGTTATCTCATCTGTAAAATAAGAGTAATAATAATTATTTTCCAGGTTACATGTAAAGTGTCTGGCACATATCGGTGCCCAATAGATGTTAATGTTGTTATATCTTCTTTTGGCTCCTGCTCGTTTCATCATTCACTCATATGGGGAACTTGGAGCCTCCTCCAGAGATTATTCAAGTTGGCTGGAAATGGCTTTGAGTATTACATATTTGTGTTGCCTTGTACAGTTTTTAGTTGGCTTTCTTGTATTTTGTCTCATTTAACCTCATAAAAGCCTTCTGAAGTAAGCCAGTTCTGTCCTGGGGAGGAAACAAAGAATATTCCTTTACTCCTACCCATCTAACCCAAGTTTCCCAGAAATATAACCTATCCTGGCCATTTCTCATTGTTCCAAATACTCCCCCGGCCCTTGATTCACTCTGTCTGAATTCTCCTTTCATTACTCTATCGTTACCTCACTGAAAAATCTCTGCTGTTGCTGCCTACCCTTCTTGAAATTCTGTTTTCTTCTCTTTTCTGACACTCTTCTTTCCTGGTTCTTCCCCTACATCTATGCCATTCTTTCTCTGTATCTTACATGGTGTCCTAACACTATATGTCCTTTAAATACTAATATTCAGACCCATCTGTCACACACCCAGTGTGTCTTTCCCCTTCTTAAAACTCTTCAGTAGCTCCCAGTCACCTACATCATTAAGTCCAAGCTCTTCAACATGGCATCCTGGTCTCAGTCTGGCCTCTGCCTTCCTCTCTTTGCCACTTCCTGCCTCCGTATTTGTTGGTCTGCGGATTCAAACCCGGTGTACTTTTCCTTTATACTATACTGTGTCAGTTTCTAAAACTGCTCAGTCTCTCCTCAGCCTTCAGCTCAGTTGTGTCACTTTCAGGGAACCTCCCTAAAGACTCTTCCTTAGTATTTATCATAATTGCCTCTGCATATCTTTACCTCATTGTATTTTAATTGTCTCTTTATATCTAATTCTCCCACTATCCTCTGATTTTTTTTTTTTTTTTTTTTTTAGTATAGGGAGTGTGCTTACGTGATGTTTGGTACATAACAGGAACTCAGTAAATCTTTGAATGAATAAATAATCTTGGCTGCCAATTTGCTGTATTTCCTGGTTCCTTTTTAGGTCTGTGGCTTTGTCCCTTAAGTTCTCTATAAAGGAGGGGTTGAGATAGATTCTAAAATAACTCTGTTCTTTTAGTAAGTTACCTGATTATTCACATTCCTGAAGACCATTTACTTAAGTCCAGAATAAGTAAAATAGTGACTGAATATATTTCATCAGAAAATACTAGTTTATGAAATAATAGATTACCTGTCAGTTTCTCCAAATAAGAGGTTCCCAATAATGTTTGTTGACTTAAATTCATATATTGGATTAAATTTACTAATAAAATATCAAGTTATTTACTATCCACTTGTGACATCTTGGGGTAATAAAATTTAAAACTACATGTTTTTGATTGAACAAGCACAGTGTGACAGTCTGTCTAATCAGAAAGAAAATGTGGATTTTATAGCATCTATTTAAGGTCTTCCCAGTATTGTGAACAACATAGCAATCTGCAGTGGGAAATTGTCATAGTCATCAAAACCCGTTTGTTTAGTTTTTAAATGTACTGTAAATTTTTCATTTTAATATAAAGTACATCCACCTCTAAGATCGTGTTTATTAATCATCATGTATTCTCAAAGCCTTGCTCATGAAAGACATTCAGTAAGTATTGGCTGAGTTACGCATAACTTCAGTAAGGCTACTCAGGGAGGCCTACTTTCCATATTTTGACCCCCCTCTTCTCAGCTCTACTATTTCCTGTGAACATCTTTCGGGACTGACACATGACATCAACTTTAGCAGATGCTCAGTCGATGCCTTTCCCTTTTCTTTCTTTGGATTCCTTAAGCTCAAAACTTCCCTAGAATGTAAGTGTAGATAATAAATTTTTTTTTCTATACAAGTCATTTCCTCAGCCAACGTAGGAGAAATGAGAGCCAATTTGAATAGCTGGACTAAAAGTTTTACAAGTTGTAAATCTTAAACTTCAGACAGTCTTTTGGGGAAGTAGACTTTATGCAGAATAAATCAATAGAGAAACTGATACAATAAGAGAAAAGAGCAAATATGAGCAAAGTTGATAATTCATAAAAGAATTATTACAAGTATGAAGCTAAGTAGGTTTTTGTTGTTGGGTTTTTGAAAACCATACTGCCTAATAAATGTAAAAGATATTCATTTTTAAAGATGATGTGGTTTGGGGGGCCACATAATTGTGTTTGCAGATCTTGCATTACGATGTTTGGTTGAAACCTATGCTGCCAGTTGTGAGGAAAGGAATGAAGAACCTTTAGCCAAACGCATAAAGAATGATAAAACAGAGAAAGAAATTAACACTTTGGCCAAGGAAGGAAATGAAAAAAATGTCCCAGAGAAGTGGACCCCTGTGGCTGGCATTGTTATTGCACTCTGTTGTCACCACAGGTGTGATTGGAGACATTATGTGGGCAAAGAATATTTCAGGGCCCTAGGCCTTGGAGCAGTGGAATTCCACTATTTCCAGCGAATGAGTAGTTGGGCCACTTGTGGGATGCGAAAAACAGCTTTGGAAGCGTCAGATATTTCCACAAAGAGAAAAGATAAACCGAACGATGACAGCGAGGAGCACGATGATGGAAGGCATGGAGCCACAGATGACGGCGCTGAGAGTTTGCCTGGGTAAGTGACTCCTTTGAAAGAGTAACACTAGAGCAGAAATATGTTATTATTACTATGCTTTCTTTTGAGATGAGTGTTACCAAAAACTTATTTATGAAAATATATTATTTACCATCTAATTTTAGAAGAAGAGAAAATGCACACACTTTTATTGTGGCATAAATAAAAGTTGTAAGCATGGGATATAGCACCTAATATACTGTGGGTTATTTAGCAATTTACCAATAAACAGAAATGACTAATATAAATGTTTACAGAATTTTAACAATGTGTTGTATGTGTTTATTCAATTTAGGTTTCTTACCGTTGAAGAAAAGAAGAAAATAGGGCATCTTTGTAAATTGCTGATTGACCAAGGCCGAATCAAGTATTTACAGCAGAAAGGATTCAGTCCTGCTTTACAGTATTATACAGACCCTCTGGTGTCTTTGGAAAATGTATTGTTAACTGCTTTACCAAGTCGTTCAACACCAGAAACAACTGCTTAATGGAAACGAAATTTTGAACAACATCTGTCTTCCACCAAAAAAATTTTTTAATTGTATTTTTATATTCATGAAAGTATAATTTAAATAGCAGGTAACATGAACTTTTAAAAATGTTGTGGCCTCAATGAACTTTGGTAGTAGCTTTGTTTTTTCACTTCAGAAGTCCAAACAGTAGAGAATTCACTAAATTCCCAAAGTAATCCTCTTCAGCAGGGCATCTTGAATTTTATTATCCATCAGCATTTATAGAGATTGGTTTAGTAGTCGAGCAGTTGACTTGGTTATCTGAAACACACATAACATGTCAATTGTAACTAGCACATTAACTTTCTACTTGCATTAATTTTGGAAATTTATTTTCCTTTGATTTTATTTAATACTTTTTATCTTTCAAGTTCAAGATGCGGTGATCAATTGTCAGTTTACAAGAACCAATCTGAGAATTTGGCTTATGTATGGATTTTTTTGTCCTTGAAGATCTGGGAAGAAAAATTAAATGTGATTATTTGTTTCTAATGTAAACAAATTCAGGAAGTTCACAATCAATTAATGAATTCACCTTCCAGATTTCAAGAGCCACACCTGTGTTTATATATAATCAGAATGTGTCCAGAATTTTTCAAGGGAAAAAAACTGTTTCACTTCATCATTTTTATTGGATAATAAGCTAGTTAGAATTTCCAAAAAGATACTTATAAGCCTAATTCACAAATTAAATTGAAACTTTCAAATAACTCCTGAAGTTAATTAGATGCCATATCTTTTAACAGGCTATTTTTACATGTATAAGTACAAATGTAAGTATATTCTCTCCTGTTTGGAAAAATAATTTGGAATAAAGTGGAAATTAGGTAATGAAACCAAAACCTTCTCACATATAGGCCTCATTTAACTCATAAGCAGTTTCTATGCATAAACTGACATTAAACCAAACATATGGCAAGACTGTTAACTTTCCTCATCTTATCCTTGATTTATTTCTGCCTTTATTTGTAAAAATTGTCTTGATCTTTGATACATTTGCCAAGACAAAGATCCAGAATTACTCATTTTAGACATTATAATGATATTCTTAGGTAACTATTTTGTAGGTCTATGATTACATTAATTACAGATGAGAAGTCTAAGCATTTTTAATTTCTGACCTTTCTCCTTTAGTTCTATCTCATGTATCTCATGAGACTGCCTGCGTTCAAGTATCAGCCCTACTACTTGATCTCTTTGTGCCTCTATTTCCCCCTCTTAAAACGGGGATGGTGAAGATAGTAATACCTCATAAGGTTGTTGTGAGCATTAAATGAGATAGTACATGTGAGATGCTTAGAACAGTTCTGAGTACAGAATTTTGTACTCAATAAATATTAACTATTATTAATAGTACTAATTCATGAAAATATTTCTAGTAACATAGTAGGCAGACTTGGTTTTATTATCTCTGTTTAAGTTGTAATCATTTTTCTCTTGTTATAAGTTCTATGTCATATTATTAAAGTAAGATAGTTTATTTTTTAAAGTAGTTACTCATGCCTGCAAATCAAGAGAACATAAATGAAGATAATAATACATAACTCAGAAATTAACCTGATTTTACTGAGTTAGGCAATGTTAATTTGTGTCATACTATCTGTTTTGCATCATTCAACAATTTATGCCCCAAAATAAAAATAATTCTACAGCAGGTATTATCTCCGTTATGTTTCATGAAACATATGTACAACACAAAGAATTATATAGTCCTGTGGCCCATCAGCTTAATGACTGTCTCTGACGATGATACCAAGTACTGTATGGGAGGATAAGCTTGTCCTCAGCATGCCAGCCGTAGGTCAAGATTGTCGTTTTCCACAGCTTTGCTCATTTCCTTTAAGATAACATGAGACAGTGACTATGTGGGATACGCATATAACCATTTCTTGGCCTGCAGAATTTTCAGGTTCAGCAAACTCCTCGTACTTTAGATTGATCTACACAACTACCTCTTCCTGCATGTCCCACAGGTTCATCATTCACTGTGTTGAAACTGAAGCTCATGTTCCACTTCTGCCACCAAACCAGCTTTTATACTTCATCCCCCCGTCACCGTTCACCCAATCGCTCTAACCAAAAACAGATTCATCGTAGACTCCTCCCTTTTCTCATCTTCATTCAGTCATCAAATCTTTCTCCTGCTTGTCTTTTATATATTTATATTCCGCTATCCGACACGAGGCCCCAGGCAGTTATAACTTTTTTACTTGTCTTCCTACAGTCGATCCTCTGTGTGACTGTTTCTGTGACCTTTCTATAACAGACCTAATGACCATTTCCTAAACGTCCTCCATTGGATGATGGTAAAATTAATTTCTGTAGCTGAAAAAAAATTCTTGTATTGTTTGCTCAGATTATACTTATTCTTCAAAGTAACTATTTGAAAATGTAACCAAATTCTACGTTTTAATTCAAAAAAACTTCACATTTTAGTGAATTGTAAAACCATGTTTTCTGTTGCTGTGCTACTGTTTATTGGTTTTATTAACAGAGAACTGTGTGCCCTTTGTCCTCTTCCCTTAATCTCAGTTTGTCGTTCCTTCCTTAATTGTTTTTTAAAAAAAAGAAGAAAAGGTTTTAGTCCTAAATTATCAGAGATAAAGTGATTGAAATCTACATAGCAAAACCTTACCAAAATCTATTTTCTCTTGATAATTTTCATTCCAACGCAAAATGCTTTTTCGTTCCTAGGCAAAATATTTCTTTTACTATTTGCAGATTGTAGAAAAAGAGAAAATGTAGCAAAGGTAGTGTTCATGAGTAAACTGATCTATGTGACAAACTGAGACAACGCGGCAGTGAGGCTTTAAGAATTCCGTCTTCATTCACTTGGTTTTGCTTCAAGTGCTTGGCCAAAGAATTTTATTTTCTGACGCTACTTGAAAAACTTTCAGTATCTTTATAACCTTTGTCTCCAAGCCCTTATCAAAATTGTGAACAGGTGTGAACTTCACTTTTTTCTTTCTACAATATTGACCAAGTGACCAGCACTTGACAGAAAAGTTAAGATGGAATGAGAAATCTACAAAGGAGTAATATATATACACACTCTCCTACCAAAAAGAATTTTTAACCTGTGTCATTTATATACAAGCCTCATACCTGCTCTCCGTGACTCCTGTATGTAAGTGTGCATAAACTGAAGGCCGAATAATTCCCGTTCCTCTTCCTCATCTGTGTTTTCACTGGGAGGAAGTGTTACTTCCAGTTTCAACGGGTTGTCTCGGAAGTTGACAAACCTGGCAGTTCACCAAAAAACAGTATTTTTATAGGTGCCAAAGAAGTGTACATTTATTTCCCTGGAGAAAGATCAGATGATAATATACTAAATTACTCTTTTTTAACTGGCTTCAATAACTGAACATCTTGGTGAGATGTGATATATCCCAAGAATCTTTAAGTTTCTTTCCTAAAAGAAAAAAATATTTTCTTTAGACAACTTATTTTCCAAGCTTGTAAAAGCAGTTATTAGTCCATAGCATATGTTTAATGTGGTACAGTTTAACTTCCAAGAGCAATCCTAATGTATCTCAGATATGCAATTAATGCTGTAAACTTAAAGTTTCTGCATATTTTATACATCGTGTCTTATTTATCATTGTATCTTCACCATCTGGTCCAGGACTCAGTAGTTGCTGAATAAGTAAATGAATGATTTTGTTATGAAAGGTGTAGGATTTGGTATGAATTCTAATGTCTTATGCTCACTGTCAGGAAATTAAGTTGAGGAAGGAAGATTTTTGAGAGTTCTGATAGTAATTAACTTCTTAAAAGGTATATTGACTCTATCTGTAACATAATTGCCTGTGTTCATTCGTAGTTTTTTAGAAGGAAAGTAATCACTGTTCTTATGCTTTTAGTTTTTGTATCGTGCATAAAGTTTGTTAGCAGTTATAAAATGATGGGGGTGAGGGTGTAGCTCAGCTGGTAGAGCACATGCTGAGCATGCACGTGGTATTTGGTTCAGTTCCCAGTACCTCCATTTGGAAAAAAAAAAAAGAAAATGAAAACTGATGATTTTCATGAAAATGTCACCATCACAGGGTAATTTAAAGCTGATAAATCCCAGTCCTGTTTCAGTTTCAAGGATTCTTTCTTGAATAATTTAGACTAGTGTTATATGAATCCTATTTATAAATTATGGAATTTCAGAGTTAGAGAAGATTTTTAAATGTATTCATTGATTTGAATGAGAACTCAAATCTGTTAACAACAAGTTCTCTGTATTACTTTGTTCTGCAGCCAGAAAGGGACATGTCAACTTTGGGTCTATAACTGTCACCTCAGACTGGTCATCTCTTCCATACACGCTGGAATATCTTGCAGCTTATTGTTGCTGAGGACAAGCGTGCTCAGATTTTTCATATTGCTGATTGTTTCTGGCAAGCATGTTATTTCATTCCGTTGCAGCCACAATGTATGTAGACTTTGCATCCTGAAGAATTAAAAAAGGTTTCTGTGATTAACCACATAACCCTGGTTCTTATTAACCTAAAGTTTTTTTAAATGTCCTCTTGTACAACGTCACCTTTAACCAGTATTACCTATTGAGTTAACTGACTTCACATTACCTGGTTTTAGGGAAACTGTATCAGGGAGTTAATCTCTATCTACAGTACAGCTGTCACCATGTAGTAGTAGAAACGAAATCAATTCTAGAAGTCTTCACTATTCTCATAGGATTTCTTGCAGAAGAACCACTAAAATGTTATCTAATCTGAATTAGAGTCTCAAGAGAAAACTCAGAAATTATTAATATGCCCATTTAGGGCAAGACAAGTATGCGTGATGGTTAACAGCTTGGACTCTGGGACCAGGGTGCCTAGGTTCAAATCCTAGCTTGCACTTTACAAACAGATGAGGGAACTAACATAGATCTCTACATTAGTTTCCTCCTCCGTTTGTAAAGTCCACAGAAGTACCTGGCAGGTACTAAGCAATGTTATTGTTGTGGCCTATTCTTGTAAATTTGTTAAAGTCAGGTAGCCAGTTTTTCTCTCCCAAAGCTCTTTTTCTTATTTGGAATAAATGAAAATATTCTGTTAAGAAGAGGCATACATTATTTAGAACTAAATGGATCTATTATGATTGACTATGCTTGGAGTCCCCTTTGTTTTGTTTATTATTTCTTATTAATCATAGATGGCTTCAACACATCTCTTGGCAGCAAAAAAAAAAAGTTATTTATTTTACCTTTCTATAGTATCAGGAAGTTGCTGAAGTCTGTTGCTTCCCATATCAAGCCACTCAAGGGCAGGCATGTTCAACACAGCAGGAGGGACTGTGGTAAAGTGGTTCATGCTCAGATCGAGATGAGTCAGCTTTATCAAATTGCTGAGCTGAGGAGGAAGGCAAGGGTTTTCAAAGTAAATGCCCACAATGTAAACTACTAAAACACATTGATAAAGGAGGTATTTCACGTCAAGAAATGTTTACATGATGCTTGGGTTTTACTTAGTCTTAGCAATCCACAGCAAATTTGAAATAACAATACAGCTAAATAACCTCCAGATAAATGAAAAACTTCCTCATGGAAAGTTAATCTATTCAAAGAAAATTTATCTTCCAAAATAACCAAGTTCCAGGGTTTACTGAACCTGCCAGGCAGGAGCTTTTTTTTTCCCTTTTCTTTCTAGCAGTAAACATATGTTGTATTTTCCTTTTATCTAGTAGTTGAGATTTTCATGGGAAGACCCAAACTTTAGAATAATAGTTATCTTTATTTAAATTTCCTGTGCCTGATGCTTTAAATATGTTATCTCAGTCACAGAATTCACAGTAATTCTATTTTTAAATGAAACCATCAATTAAAAATGTATTAAGACTATATAACCACACCAGTGTGCTCAACTTAAGAAAGAACTATATAGGTATGACCACCCCCAGTGTACTTCTCCCTCCTGCCCCTTGAAAGGTAAATCAGTTCTGAATTTGGTATCTTATTATTCCTGTGCATTTTTTATGCTTTTATCATGATTCATAAATATATTTTTCTATATATTTGCATATTACTATTATATATTTTCCATAAGTGGAATTTAGTATTTTTATATGTTTCAAAATTTTATTTAAAGATGGTGATATTGTGCTTGTCTTTCTTTAACTTGCTTTTTTTCTCTCAATATCAGTTTTTAAGTATATTCATGTTGATGCAGACAGCTCTAGTTTATTCATCAGTTTTCCAAGGTGAGTAGCTTATTTCCATTTTAAGGACAAAATGGTTTAGAGAGGCTGTGTAACTAGAAATGATGGTGCTATAGTGTGCATTCAAGTTTTTGTGGACCTAAAGCCACAAAATTTCTAAATTTCTCTTTCTTCTGTAGTGACAGTTTCACAATATAAGAATTTAGTTAACTCTTACAAAAAATCTCCATTTAGCCTGGCACATTCAATTTCATTCTACAACTTTAACACATAAAAAAAATGCACAAAACAATGCTTTATGGGCAATGAAAAAAGATCAGTTTTTCCATTTAGTATGTGGTTCCCCAGCTTTAGAATTCAAGTCATGAATAAAGCACTTTTTCAAAATCTGTCATCAGACCTTTAAATTTTTCAAGTAATTCAGAATAAAAAAATCGTTTTTACATTAGCATAAATATGTGTGTTATACTGTGTGCAGTTTAATGGCTGAGAGATGTCTCCCTTTGTAGATTTCTCAGTGGTACTAGAACCCTTTGATTTTAGAAAATTGAAAAAAAGATATTAAAACCATGATAATCTAAGTCTTAAATTTGCATATGTGAAAATTGAGACCTAGCTCTGTAAAGTGGTACGTTCAAGGTTACACCTTGGAAATAATTCCAGGCACAAGGTCTCAGTTCAGTATTTGTTCCTATAAAACCTATTTCTTTAAGTGAAGACATTAAGGTAAAGACAGGTTAATAGGCATGTCCAAGTTCACAGCTTTTTATTGACAGAACAAAGCTAGAAACAAAATTACAGAATTAGAAATTAGAAATAAAACATTTATTGGCCCTCTTTTAGGTATAAATAAAATATCCCTGTGATCATGATCTTCATCATAAGCAAGTATATACATTTTACTAAATTGAACTATTGTAAGAGATGGATATGGGTATAGAAAGTATGTTTTGCTTGCAAGAGTAACAATTATTGGTACATGTTTCCTGGTTTGGGGGAAAAAAGTGACATTCTTACCAAGATACAGTGGGAGAAGGGACTAGTCTTTTATTTTTAGTTTTATTATTTTTCTTAACTTTTATTTTGCAAAGTCATTGTTTTCAAGGCAAATTGCCGTGGAAATTTCTTTTGCTGATTAAGTATGCTTGAAAAGTAATTTAAATGTCTATATCTCTATGATCAGTTTGGTTTTACCAGTTACAAGACATCATGCCAAATCAAGGTTTAAAGGCTTTCCAAGCCCACTGCCTGGCTTTTACTTGGTAGAACCTAGGAAGCTGGCAAAGAAACACTTCTAAACTGAGGAACTCATGTCATCACTTTACTTGTTCTCAAAAACTGATCACCTTATAAAAACCAACTAATAAAAGAGTTTTTCTACCCCCACATTGTCTGAGTTTTATGTTAATCATGTACTCATTCAGTAAGCATCAGGTAACAACCACAGCCTAGGCTGTGCCTTCAGTTCTGGGAAGAGAAATAAAAAAGACTCTCACTCTGGCCTTCAAGGAGATCACAGTCTAGTCAAAACAAAAATAGAAATAAATTTTATGCTAAATAGATCTTTCTTTAACTAAAAACGTGCTTTTTAATAGCATGAAATGTTTTCACTAAAAATATTATTTTCTGAAATAAAATGTATAGCATTTCTTCATGAGTGTTATTTTTAATGACCACACAGAGGAGAGGTGAACCAGTAGAGGATGGAAAGTAACATAGACATTTACATCATTCTAACCTCTTGTGGAAGCTCACATATATCTCTGTTAACAGCAAGTTCTAGTTTCTCCAAGCTGGCGCAGTTACTTAGCTCCTTGGGGACAGTCTTGATCCTGTTGTAACTAAGAATCAGTTCCTGAAGTCTGGTGAGCAGTCCTACAAATAATGATACACAACAGAGAGCAGATGGATATAAAGTAATGTTTCTAGTTATTGAGTATTTTAACTTATTCGCCAGCTTCATATTGGCAAATTCACTCTTCTTAGGCTCCTCCCTTTTCCTAGTATGTGTCCTCCCCCTTCTCCAGATAAGGAGCAGGCGATTTATCAGTGCTCTAGGCAAACATATTTCTTTTCATTCTGTTTTATCTATACTATATCCTGACCAATTTCCCACTTGGGATTTTTTTTTTTTTCTCATTTAAGGAATTTTTTTTCACTCTCTTTCTTGTCTTCATCCTGTTCCCTTCCAGGAGGAATAGCTGAACCGGCAATATTGTTTCCAGGATCTACACAATGTTATTTCTAAAGAGACTTCTCTTGCATTGAAATCTCATCTTGAATCACCTCAGTAAATCCAGAAGGTTGGATCTCCTGGAAGCTTCCGTTTAGATTAAATGTTTAAAATTTTCTCAAGATTTAGGGCTTTGTAAAGATGAGATCTTCATTCCATGTATCCAAAAAAAAAAAATCTCAGTAAAAAGCAGGAATAAAACCTGCCTTCCTTACCAATTCCTCGAGGTATCTCTGAAATTGTGTTTCGAGATAAATCTAACACAGTAAGGTTCTGGAATCTTCCGATGAATTCGGGAATTTTCAGCAAACCAGTTCTATGAAGTTGCCATTCCTGTAGCTGACTCAGTTTCAGTAGAGAAGAAGGGAGGGTCTAAACTCAAGTAAAAGAAATGACAGACTTACTGTATTACCTTACAATTATTTTAGTATCATGTCACACTTGAAATATGATTGTAGAGGTATCATTTGATTTATAAAAGAACTTAGGAATATTTTTCTTTAATGGGTTATACTTCCAAATGCTTTTGACTACTTCTATGTTTTAAGACCTTTACTTTGGGGGGTGCTAAACCTTCAAACCCAAATCATAATAGCTTAAACAAAAATAATGTATTTTGCTCAATAGTGCACACACACAGAGCTGTGTTCTAAAGATTCTGTTATATTAGTCTTTGCTAGAGTACATATTTTATTGCAAATGAGAATATGGTGGTTAATTGAAATCACAGAGACATGGAAAGACCATTTTAATCAACCATCCAAACTTCCCTTTGTGTTTTGAAATAATTTGTAAAAGGTTTTAAAAGAGGATTTTCTTTTTACTTAAGAAATTTAAGAATTTCAACTATTCTGAACTCTATGCCTTTTCTTTTTCAGCCTAAAATAGCCAAAAGATAAAATAAAGGAGTTAACCCCCAAGTTAAATATACCTGTATGTAGGGAAACAGACACTGATCCAAGGTTTAGAAGATGCCTGTGTCAAAATTAGAGTAGGCCTAATGTAACTGAGCAACTCTGTGTGTGTGTGTGTGTGTGTGTGTGTGTGTGTGTGAGAGAGAGAGAGAGACAGAGACAGAGACAGAGACAGAGAGAGAGAGAGAGAGAGAATATGAATAAGGTCATGGACATGGGAAAAAATTAATAATACATTTCAATTTTAACTGAAGTTTTAACCGAGCATTTGCTTTGGAAAATCTGTATGATTTTTGTTAAGCAGATGATCATCTTTTTATGGAAAATGAGAAATTGCTTATTAGAAGGATTAGTAGAAGTTTTACAAATGACCTAAGTTTAGGCAGAATTGAAGCACATTGGTCCAAATTTTGCAAAAAAAAAGTTTGAAGTTATGTTTTCAGTTGCTCATGTTGCCCAGATTCATTTGGTGTATTATTAAAATTAGAATTCCTGTAACTATTCCAGTCTTAAGCACACAGCCTCAGAATCATTCTCTCTGCTCTCCCACAAAATGTGAAATGTAGAAAATCAAATATTACTTCTATAAAGCTTACCTTCCATTCCTCTTTTTCTATCTTCAAAACAAGTCTTCCATCTTCCTTGGAGACCTTTTCTCTTAGCTTGGTTAAGCTTACTCGTTCTTCCCAGATCCGCACTAGCCTTGGAGACCAGGAAATCATTTTAGTTCACAGGTAAAAGACATAGGTAACATTCAGTTTTATATGAAAAATAGACCCATCAAAAATAAGCATTCGATTGATAGTATGTGAAAATCAGACAAGAATTTATTTTGTAAGAATTACAAATATGCTTGGTATCATAAATGCCCTATTTTTAAGTTTTTGAAAAGTATAACTCTTCATAAGTTTTTATAAGTTTTATTGAGGTATGATTCACATACTGTAAAATTAATCCTTTTAAGCATACAATTTTTTTTGTACATTTACAGAGCTATGCGACCATTATCACTATCTGATTCAAAACATTTTCATCACTCAAAAAAGAAACCCCATAGCCATTAGCAATCACTCCCCATTCCTCCCTCCCCCAGACCCTGGCAACCACTAATCTACTTTCTATCTGAATGGATTTGCCTATTCTGAACATTTCAGATAAAGAGGATTATATAATATGTGGTCTTTTATGTCTGGCTTCTTTCACACAACATAGTTTTTCCCAGAGTTTATGCATGCTACCACATGTGTCAGTGCTTTATTCCTTTTTATAGAAGAATAATATTCTACTGCATGGATATACCAGATTTTGTTTATCCACTCATCAATTGATGGACATTTGGGTTAATTCCATTTTTTAGTTACTTTTGAATAGTGCTGCTATGAACATTCGTGTACAAGTTTTTGTGTAGACATATGATTTTGTTTCTCTTGAGTATATTCTTAGGAGTACAATTGCTGGGTCTTTTCATAACTCTATGTTTAACTTTTTTAAGAACTGCCAAATTGTGTCCAAATCGCTTTCATCATTTACCTTCCCACCAGCAGTTTATGAGGGTTCTGATCCACATCCTGTCCATCTTTTTGATCACAGCTGTCCTAGTAGGTATGAAGTGGTACTTCATTGTTTTCACTTGCATTTATTAAATATCGAATCCATAGATATTTAATAAAAAATTTTTAATGACTTGCAAATTATGTAGTTCAACTTCAGAGTTAAATTATATATTACTATATTCCACTTTGTCCAGATTTTGTTTCTTAGATATAAAAATATACAAAAACTTTGTCATTCTGGAGCACATCCTGTTGATTTTTGGTTCATTGCAAACATACATAAGAAAAATATCAAACTATAAAAATGACTAGCAAAAGGTTACAGAGGTTTTCTATTTCTAGACTAGAAAGTTTTCATGTATGAAAAATAAAGAATAAACTTAGAATTGAAATGTTTATGCTTTTAGCCTATTAGAATGATGCATAATAAAGAAATATAAGCAGTCCTCAAAGAACATAGGTTTAATTAATTTGAATATTTATTTTTCAAAAATCTCTTGACATCTGAGAGTTAATATATATTCTTAGCAACTTCTCATATTAACTGATCTTCAACAAAGATTTTATTTTAATGAACGGAAAACCAAGTATCTCTAAAAGTGTAACATTTGCTGTGTATATATATTGGTGTTTGCAAAATATTTCTATAGATCTGCGTGTTTTCATCCACTCCTTGTCTGAAAGTTAACTCATCTGCTAACAAGTGCACTGTGGCAACGGCTATATGTAGCCCTCTAGACTGCAGCTAGGCTTCCGATAGATGTGGTTAACTGAGACAAAATGTATAATACCATCTGTTCAATTACATCACTTTTTATTAAAAATAGAGCTCTTCATGGGGAGAGGTGTATAGCTGAAGTGGTAGAGCGCATGCTTGGCATCCACGAGGTGCTGGGTTGAATCCCCAGCATCTCCTCTAAAAATAAATAAATAAATAAACCTAATTACCCCTCCATACCCAGAAATAATATTTAAAAAAATAAAAATAGAACAGTATTCAAACAGTAGACATAAAGATTATTAATTACTTGTTACTCACTGAGATACATGGATTTCAGAGCAAGATTTAATGATAAAAGCAAATAGATGTCTTATTCCCTAACCTTTAACTTCAGTTACAGAATTCACCAAGCAGCCATTATATGCCAAGTATTATGCTGGACACTGTGTATACAAAATGCTCTGTCCTCGGTGAGTTTACAGTGATGCTATTATTAGACAAGTTTATTTCCATCTCTATAATGATTCATAAATTCTTTCTTGCTCTGAATTACTATGATCTAAGTTCAGAATGTATCACTTAATTTGGCGACCATGGGTGAGATATCGCACCTCCATGGTTCCTACCTATAAAACAACGGGTTTGGATCAAGTAATGTCGCCAGTCTCTTCCAGCTCTGGGGCTCTGAGTCCTACACTGCTTATTTTAAGCTTGATGTACTTCCAAGTTTTGAACAGAAGTTTTCTACTTCCTCTGAAACCTTTTTGTTATAGTCTAAAGCCTTTCTCTTTTATCGAAGTGCTTGACTTCCTCAAGGCAGCTTGGCATCAAAACACAATGAGGACAATTTCTGTTTAAACTTGAGACTTTCTGAGCTAACTCTGGTCATTTTTAGCTGAGAGAAGAATCATTAGATTACATCCTTACCCTTTTCTGCCCCTTGCCTGTTTTGTACAGCGAAAACATGAAGCTGCTGAAATTAAATGATTCTTAACTAGACACATTCAATAGCTGAAATTCAGGGGTTTAGAACCGACTCATGATTTCTGACCACTGTTTTTGAAAATGGAGAGTATTTATTAAGAACACTCAAGTCAGGTTTGTCATAATTGTGTAATATAAACATAATAGGTTTCAGAAGAGTGGCTTTACATATAAACGGCCAATCCAGGGAAATGTCAGACCTGATGTGAATGTAACACTTACTGGGTCAGATTACTTAGGTGTGAATACCAGTGAATACCAGTTCCACATTTATTAGCATGAGAGTTTTGACAGGTTACCTGGACCTGTCCCTCCGGTTTTCCATCTTTAAAGTGGAGAAAATAATGTCACCTATGAGTGGCAGCGGCTGCTTATTGTTCCCCAGTATGTGTTACTTCTCTTCTTCCTCAGTAATAGATCCTCTGAGTACAACTGAGCACAAGGCTTCATTTAGCCATCCTCCCTTGCAGCTATGTACTGGTCATGTGTAGCTTTGGCCAATGGGATGTTAGCAGAAGTAGTAGTGTGTGCAACTTCCTGCTGGCTGGAATCAAATTCAATGGCTGCAGTTGGTCTGTGTATTTGGAGCCCTGAGGTGACTTTAGGAATGGAAGCCATGCACAGTTGAGCAACAAGATAAAAGCCTGAGTGTCTGACTCAGTAGAGTGCTGCACCAGCCCTGGATCACTTACGCAGAAAGTTAGCTTATCTTGCATAAGGTACCATTATTATGGTTTTCATTCTCTCACAATGCGATCTAATCCTCATCATGACACGACGACTCAGCATGTTGAGAGGATTAAATGAGATGCTGCAAATAAAGCACTTAGCAGAGGGTCCAGTAAACACATAATAAATGTCTGCTACCCTTATCATTGTCAGCATCACTATCATCTTCATTGGCCCTGGCCGGGAAAAATGACACTTCCTCATCCAGATCTTTTGTTTTTACAGTTAGGAGACACAAATAGTTACTTATCAATAAACATTTCCCCCTCTTCTTTGCTGGGAGAAAGCCAGTTATTTTCCAGTAACCCAGGAAAAAT